CTGTCCTTGGAAGGGGACGGGCGTTCTGGTCCTCTGATGCGACGCGGTCTGGCGTTTGGGCTCGGTCGAGAACTAGACTGGGTCTATCTGCCTTGTTGCTGTTCCTGGAATGAATTGCACAAGAAATTCAAGTCCAGCAGCAGTTAGAATCCGTTGACCGTAATTAAAGGGACGAATATGCTGGACAGGTCCTTGTTGTCGGGGGAGGTGTTGTTATTGTTGTCGTTGTCGTCGTCGTGAAGAAAGGTGTACCACAAACAGCCAGCTGCTCAGGTATGGACGGCGGTAGTTGGCTTGTGCAGGCGACGTGAAAAAGGCCGAGTTCCTTTTGAGGAATCCGACTGCTAATGAGGTCAGAGGTGCTGATGACTGTTGCTGGCTGGCTGGCGGGCTGTCCCCTGATCAGACGCCAGAAAAAGAGGGGGGCGAGAGAGGTGGTTGAACGGGTCGGGTGGGTGACTTTTGAGGGTGGTGGTGCCACTGCAGGGATGGGTCGCCGTGACGAGTCGTGGGCGTGCTGGGTTGCAGCAATAGGTGACTTTTGGGGTGGTCCCAGTGGATGCGGGCTTGGCGCTTTTTAGAGGTCGAGACGGCCGTCCTTTATGCTCGCCGCTGCAGTCGCTGATTTGTAGTCCAGTCGCTGCTATGACAGTGCTGACAGATGTTGCTGAATGAGACTCCAGTCGTGGGTGAAGCAATGCTTAGTCGTGAATCGTGAAGGTCGGATGGTGACGGATCACGACGCGGACTTCTGGAACGCTGCGCGTGAACTCGCTCTGTCCGTCTACGTGTACAAACTGGATTCCGGTGACGTCGAGAGGATTGATGTCCCTGGGATACCTGCTTCCCCTCCCACTCAAGGCTCCAGTCCGAGGCCAAGAACCGATCTTCCAGTTCCAGGTGCCTGTCGGCCCTCAGATGGCCTGACGCTGGACAACAGAGCACCGCAGGGCACTGCAGGTGAATGGATCAGGCGCGTCGGGGCAGCTGCACAGAAGCTGAGGGAATTGTAAAGTACCTCCGCGTGGCGCAGGCGTCCAGGAGGTACGAGGCTTTTGCTTGCCGGTGGCGCGGTGGATGAGGTACTCGCCGAACACCAATAGCGAGCGAGTGACTCCAAATCAGGCGGGTGCGCTTATCGAAGGCGAAGGCTCGTCGAGAGGAGGCAAAAAAAGGAAAGATGCGATTTTCGACAAGAATCTGATAGACAATGGGCAGCTGTCAATGCTGCGCCCACATCCGGTGGCGGACTGTCGCTAATTAGTGTTTGACACTGGTTGGGGTTGGCCTAGTTCCTGGTGGCGGATTGCGGATGCTTCCAGGCGGGAGCTTGGAAAGCTTCGCGGTGGGAAATATGTGTGCCTGGCGATTATAGCGGGTGGCGAGCGATAGCTGCACGTCGGTAGCCGTCAGGTGGGCACGTGGTCGTTGGTCTCGAAAATGTTCTTCTTGCACATTGATTGACTTCGACACAGGAATTGGAATGGCAAGACTGTTTCGATAATAAACGCCTGGATCGATACCAATTCCATGTCAATAAAAGGCCTCTCGCGATCGTCCAGGCGACGGTCTTGCAGTGCAGGGAATCGCAGTAGCTCGCGCAGCAGCGCTCAGCAGGACAAGCGGTGAGGCAGCGCGAGGCCCCGAGCAAGGCCAACGAGAGGCTTCAATGTGCAAAGGGCCAATTCCTACTGGAGGCAGGGTCTCTGCTCAGGTGATGGCCTTTGTGGAGAGGCGACGATGGAGGCGACTGGAGATCGAAACTGTTTGAGAATGAGACTGGTCCAGCGAGCGGAGGGTATCTGCGACAGCGCAGGCTGCCAGGCAATGCCACGATGATGATTACGACTTGTTGTTCGTTGATGATGGAGGCTGGGTTTTTCTAGACCCAGTATACGAGCTGACTATTCGTTCTGAGGGACAATGGTAGACAAAGTGAGTCTCTGCTTCCATTGAGCACTGTTGCAGCTCTTTCACTTACACCTGGCGCTCCTGCTTTCAATCCATCCGCGAGGCTGTTGTTTCCTGGGGTAATCGTACTCTGTAGATCTACCTAAGGCAAGTGCTAACTCACCACCCACTGGTATTGCTGCTGGTTGTCTCACACCAAACCATTCCTAATTAATTGACTCAAAGTACACATTGTTTCGCATCATATCAATTCGAGTGGTCGCCAGTGCCACAAGCCATTGTGCCTCGCTTCAGCTTGTGCTCATTGCCCACACGCTGACCCCGTCATCTGCCTGCCAATGGGTCTCAGATTGGTCTGCCCCCATCAAATCGTGGTTGCCGAATGGCCTCATCACACTGCATCTGGCCGTCGAGTTATTATCCGCTCACAATCCCCGTACACCTGCATAAATTAGTTCTATCCCAGCTGATCACCGCGGCTCAGCCTGCGCTATACTCGTCGTCGACTGGAAACAATGGTTTGTTCAGCTATCCGTACACTTCAGCTACACACGTGAGGCGTCCAGCACTCTACGTCTGACAACCATCCACGAGTCTCGCGGGCTCTTCATGTCCTCCTGCAAGATCACTGGTCTGGTGGAATCGCTGCGAGTGCATGACTTGGCCACCAGTGGGATCGTAGCCGGTGCAGGCCGCACCAGTGGTCAGTCGATGCTTTCTGTTGGCTTGTATTGGTTTGGCTTGGCTTGGCAATGCTCTGTCGACTGACTACGGATGCTCGTACGTACCTATCGCCGAGTGCAACATGGCCGTCCCTGTAGGTCCTGTCCTGAGGACCTGCAGCTTTTCTGGCCAGGTGCAGGACACCATCTCCGTCTGGCCGCAACAGCTGCATTGCCTATCATGCCATGGTAGCTCGCCCCGCCATTTTGCGTCCTATTGTACACGATGGAGGGGTGGTTGTGGTGCTCGCGTCTACACAACCAACCGATTCACAGCCATCTGACAGGTAAGCAAGAGCAGGGCTCAGATGCTGTGCTGAACCTCCATCCATCTTCTAAGACAAAGACATTGATTAAGGCGGTACGCCAGCAATGGGACGGACGGGGCGGCGCGCTCTATTGGACCGTGCACTATCCACGAGGGTGGGAGGGATAAAGTGCACCAGAACTTCGAAGCCTTCTTTCGATTCGGCGACGCGAACGAATTAATCGCTAGTGACAGCTGCGGCCAGTGAAACACTCCGCCAGCCGAGCCACGACGCCGTGACTGGTCAGACAGCGGGCGCTCTACAGCAAGCTAGGAGGGGAATTTGCTTGGTACCACTTCTGTCCCGTTCTCTTCGATACTCTGTCCTGGCGGTCAGGGAGTGGACCTCTCGTGAGCTATTTCTAATGCTATTTATTAGTGTTCACGTTAAGGCTGGGATGTCCTGCGTACGGGGATGTGTCGAGCGGGAGGATTTATCCATTTTGAGGGGAACGAGGCCAGGGCACCCCAGCCATGGGGCGACGCGCTAGGAACATTTGGCTGGAATGGTGATCGGCTTCTGGATGCTGGCTCGAAGCGTGGGGAAAGGTGACTAGGAGTCTTAGAGATGTGATGGTAAATGATCACAAGAGCCTCAGGCGCTTGCGTCGGAACGGAGGTCCCTCCTGAGGGTGGGAGGAATTGCACGTGGTAGGCTGTCGCACAAGTGGGTGATGACCGATGACTTCACTGCGGGCTTCAAACAGGTTGGGACGGCGGTTCAAGTTCAACTATGATCGGGGAACAGGTTCATGATCAAAGGCGGAAACTTGTTCTAATAGCATTGTGCGAAACAAGCGGACGCTATCAATTCATCATCAGCGATTGCACTTGCAGTCAAGGTCATCTGTTGTGGGCGGCTGTCTTTTGACAGCTGCAATGGCTTCGCATTCATAATCACACGACCTGCACCATACAGGTCAGTCATGCTACCCAGCCTCGTAACCAGGTCTTCAATGTATTTAATACTGTAAGGTGTTCGATCAGCACTGGACTACTTGAATACCTCACTAAACTAGTTCCCTGTGCCATATATCTGGTGGCGGACAGTGGACAACGGCGGGGTATAGGGTAGCCTATCAGCCAACCAACGTCGCCGCGCGGCGCGACTCGAACTGCGTATTTCCCAAACACACATCACTCACTTCACGGATCCTTCTTGTAACCGAGATGTGGCGTCTTTAGTGGCGACCGATAGTGACGCACGCATAAACAGTCGCTCAATCGACTGACTATCCTCCACTGTGGGCTGGTAGGCAGGTAACTCGTGATAATTTCATTTTGCAATGTTGCGGTGACGCCCAAGCGGGCCTAGACAGCTGAAGCCTCAACGAAGGTCTCGTGTCATGCTCAATCTCACGCAAGTGGCAGACATTATGCACAAGTTTCCATGCGAGAAACGATAACGATGATGAGAACGCCAAGGGGTTCGGACCATCTTTATGATCTGCCTTCATCGACTGCTATGGCTAACAATCGCCAACGTGCCCACAACACTCACCCATTAGACCAAACCATTGAAGGCCAACAATGCCTTCATTGCATAGATGATCACCAAGACCAAATCAATGACAACTGTCATTGAAAGCAATGCACGTAACCATTTTCAGCGTCGTGCCGATGTAAAGCCAACATGGCACAAGTCGGGTAGCAACACTTCCCAGCCCAATCGCGATGAGCCATGTCATCGTGGAATGGATGTTCATACCATTATCATAATGCCTCCCAGACAGGCAGGTCAACATCCACGACGATTGGCTTGTTCATCTTCTTGCCCCCTTTGTGTGGGTAGCTTGTCTTCATGATGGCGGCATTGACGATGCATGTCTCTTGACGCCCCATTCGACATCGGTGGGCGTCTGCGCCGCAATGACTCCCATAATTGCACAGAGGATTGGCAGTGCGGGAGGACAAATCAACAAGAGAAAGCTTGTGACTCCCCTCTGGACTCGGGTCTTGCCAATCATCAACGCCTCTCTCGTGATACGGGGCTTGGTTGGCCGTGAGATCCCATGAGACTCGCCTCGCGCCACGAGAGGAATGGACGTGGCCACAGATCGCTAGAAGTGGACGGATTCTCCAGAGAGCTTGGCGTAGAGCCTCACAGCCTGTTGATCCCCTCTCTGGTGCGATGTCACAGTGCGTCCGTGGTGGTGTATGCGTGACGACGATGTCAGTGTCGAGCGGAATGTCGTCCCAGAGCCTTGGGAGGTCGTTATTCGCCGTGGGCGATACCAGCGTGTCGTAACCAAATGCCCAAAGACCATGTTTAGGCGAATAAGGTGATCCGAACATGGAGAATGTTGTTTTTGCCCCTGTCCGCAGACGAACGGTTGTGGAAGAGTGATCCAGGTATGTTATGGTTGGGGAGTCTGCGAGCAGGGAGAGGCAGTCCTCGTAAGATTGAGGGTTCTGGTTGTGGAACTGGGCGCCATGTTCCGCGAGAAAGTTCTTGTCTAGCGTAATGTCATGGTTCCCTATGTTAATGTTAGAAAGGGTTTCAGTTGGCAGGATGCCCAACGCCGTACCAGCAATCACAATCTTGACCTCGAACGGCGCCTTCTCAAGCCACTGCACCGCTCGTGACAACTGAACCATCAGCTGTCAATTCTATACAAAGGCGCCACACTCTCTGACCTCGGAGTAGCTCCCTTGGTTGGTGAGATCACCGGCGTGGACTAGGACGTCACCGGGGGGTAACTTCGGCGTTGTATTGTGCGTGTCGGACACGCAGACAAAGCGCGTCCGACGTAGAACTGGCGATGCCATGGATGGGTCCTCCGATTATCTCACACTTTACCGTAACACATAGTGCTTGATCGGCTGGTGTGCCGTATGCGCCGTGTCGATTCTTGGTGTGTTCGAAGGGGAACCAGGGATGGTGGATTCTGAATCGTGAAGAAGATTGTCCGCGTCAGGTGAGAACAATAGAAATGAGACTTTGGTCTAGTAATTTTGAGGAGGACTGAGAAAAGGGCGAAATCGCGAGTACAATCCGTCAACACTGAGGGAAGTCAGGACTTAGGAGTGTTAACAGCCAAGTCGCGGTCACGTTGGCCAGTTTGATGGAAAAATGCGACGAGTACACCGGGTAGGCATATCACTCACGTTCGAATGGCGACAATGCCAACTACTTCTGTTTCCCATAGCATGTAAATGATACATGTAGAAATATAATGTCTTCCGAAAATCAAAGGGTCTGCTTGATATTCTGAGTGCGTTTAGGCGAGGCCACTCATGAGTCTGGCCCTCTGAACCTAGCTACACTAATATCACACGCGCGTTCATATGCGAGTGATGTTGGAACAGGAACCTGGAGTGATTATAAGAAAATGCACTCATGATGACTATGATCGAGTCGGAAATTTAGATGATTGGTAAAGGGCTTTCTAGGGCTAAAGGCCTGTCACTGTTTCATACATCTCTGCTTCAGCGAATCGCCAAACAAGTTTACCTTGCAAGAAGTCAAGAGCTCTGAACGCGAACGCAATTCACCTTGGATTCAGTGTCCCGGCTGGTGTAAGTGTCAGAAATCTCAACCGTTGGGGTTCCCGAAAGCTCTGAGCAAAGGATTGATGGCTGCGTGACAAAGGCCGTGAGGCAGACCTCGATATCTTCGGAAACACTCCCACGAATGTTTTACATCGACGGCTGCCCCAAGAGTCAGATACGCATATTCTGCCTCCTTAGTGATGAATCTATCAACCTGAATCGAGTAACACCGCGGCAACTGGAACATTTGTCTCTTTGGAATCAACGCTTGTCGGCAGTTTTGTGTGCATGTGCATGGGCGACTTTCCGAATCTAGGAGGATTAGTATAAGCCTTTCACAGAAAGAGATTCCGAAGACTCACCAGAAATTTCAGCAAATGGACTTTGGCGTTCTCCAGTCTGATTTGCTTCGCGGCGATGATTTGGCATTCAACGATTGCCTTGAAGAAGACAGCAAGCACCATGCTCTATGGTTGCTGCGGTGTTCGATCGGCAGCGAGACAGATATATACTGACTGATTATGGTTGTGACATGTGGAGAATCTTTTGTGCCACGCTGGTGAGGAGTGAGTGACCCAAAGTCTCGCTGTGTATAACCAGGAGTTGTTCGCTCCGCTGTCTCCTGAAGATGAGTAGTCGTGGATGACACATGCGCGGCTTCGTTGTGGTATATAGCAATTTTTCCGAGTGCGGTAAAGCCACGTTGTGGTGTATGCTTGACACGGTTAGCTTGATCATTGGTGGTAACCGGGCATGTTTTGCGAGCAAGAAACGTCAAAATTGATCGCATCTACGAAGGGAAGGCTGGTGTTCTGCGACCAATTGCAAGTCTTCGTCCGGAGTCCGATCATGGTGAGTTTCCGGTGATCAGGAGGTACTTATGCAGCCCAAATCAAGTGTCTTTAAGCAACGTCGACCGGGAAATCCGTGTGATTATCCAGAAGAGCACGTCGCGGATCGGATGAAGTCTTGAGTCTTGACTCGAGTGCCGTCGAGCATGCGGGGCGACATGGAGCTGATCAAGATAACAGACCAACAGACTGAAGACTACAGAGCCCTGCCCGACGGGCCGAAGCCGCCCTCCAGTCGCTGTCTGTGCCTCGAAGCAGGTCTGGGTAGCGTCCAGTCGTCTTGTTGATGTTGTGCTCTTTTGAACACGCACGCAGGCTGGAGTGACCGATGACAAGTTGTCACATCCCGGAACGAGACAACGCGCGACAATCTGCGGTACTTGTAATAACGCGTTTTGGTGCAGCAGCCGTGCATGCGCTGTTAGCAGGGATACTGGACCAGGGTCCTGGATGACAGCAATCTCGGCTGGGGCCGGGGCAATTCCGTAACGGCACTGGCGCAAAGTGCCAGAAATTGGCGTCGACGCCGTCGAAGAGCCACTGAGGCCTCGAATCTTTGGATCCAGTCGCTCAAGGGACTTTGATGCTCATCACCTTGTCGACAATGTAGTCCCGCGGCACGACAGGCTCAACCGCGAGAACCAGAGAGTTGGTGCAAAGTGCTTGCAGATCAGCTGCATGAAACAGATTCCCCCGCCGCACGTTGACCACTCAAGCGTGCGACTCCTGTTCTCAAAGACGGCGGCCGTCTGGACTCTGGACCGTCATTGGGCCCTTGTCCCACGGCTTCGAGGGATGCGAGACAATATGAAGAGGCCATGAATTCACGGCAACAGCACTCGTGTCGTAATTAATTCTACACGATCGCTGGAACAAGCAGCATAATTCTGACAGAGCTTGTCAAGCGAGTGACGGCCAGAGCCAAGAAATAGAATAATCAATGCAGTTTGTGCCCCTGCTTGTCGTAGTCCCCGGCACTTCTGTTGGCCCACTGGCTGCCTGCGCAAAACCCACCAGCCGCTTCTCGCTCCCCCAAATTCACCATCACAGCCTTCCCCCCCCAGCATCATTCCATCCCATCAGTACGGCCATTCCCTCATCATTCCGCCTGCCCACGCCGCCCGACACCCACAGACACGCCTCGCCGACACAAATTATTACGCTCGCTCTCTCTCGCTCGCTCGCTCGCTCGATCATTGTAAGCACGAACAAACACGCGTCTGACCTCGCTTGACCCAGCCTGACCCCTTTCGCTTCTTCCTCCACGGCATGTTGTCGTGAGGACGAACACTGGGAACTGGCGTGGGCACGACACTCTCTACGTACCATTACCGCTCCTTTGTCTCACAATGGCGGCCACCGCTGCCCAGACGACCACATGGGACCCGCCGGCGCGTCAGGAGGACGAGGTAAGACAGTTTGACCTGGGCCGGAACGTGACTGACGCAGAGCAGAATTACGACTTCAAGTTGCCTGCCGAGGCCGACTATAATGATGCCCAACTCGCCACGCAGCGCATGAAGTCGGCCAGCGACGATGCCCTCCACGAAGAACCCCCCAAGAACGAGTCCGCCCTCCTACCGGCACTTGAACCCAAGGACGACCAGTGGATCCATCGCGACAAGTTGGCCAAGATTGAGAGCCAGGAGCTGCAAGCAGCTGGCCTATACGTTCCCCGCTCACGAGCCCCCAGCAAGCAGGCCAGAGACCGCAGTCGTAGCGCGATGCGGCGCGGCACAGACGCTTCAGAAACGCGGTCGCGTAAGAACTCGGCGTCCGTCGAGCAAAGGGCTTCCGAGTACCAAACCCCCAGCTGGGACCTGCGGACCCCCGAGGAGATTGCCGAGGAGGAAGCCACTGCCTACTTTATCAGCAACAGCTTGCGGGGGGCTTCGCGGATACCAGTGGCTAAGACGAGCCCTGCGCCCATATCGCTCGACCATCTGGAGAGGGGGACGCTTATGAGCGAGAGTCCTGAGACGGCCGCACGATCTAGGAGCGCATCGGCGAGCCTTCGGAACCCGACGCTTCCTGCCGCCAAACGGTCCAACACAGACATGTCGCCCAAGAAGGCGTCCACGTCGGGACCCGGTCGCAAAATGTCGAGCGGAGCCAAGGCTGGACAGCGGCCCAAGACGCGGAATGGCTCTGGCAGCAACACGCGCCCGCCGACGAGATCAGGCGACTCACCACCCAACAAGCAACCCGAAGGTGATCCGCCATGGATGGTCAACGCTTACAAGCCCGACCCTCGACTGCCGCCTGACCAGCAGCTGCTCCCCACAGTCGCGCGACGATTGCAGCAGGAGAAGTGGGAGAAGGATGGCACATATGGGAACGTCTACGACAAGGAATTCCGGCCTCTCAACGACACGACCCACCTGCATCCGCCCGAGGCAGCAGCAGTTCAAGCACCGCAGGCTGATTCGGCCGACGCTGAACCTGCCTCGAACGGCGAATGGCCGCTTCGACCAGTCGAGAAGTCGCCCAGCATACGGCAGGGCTCTTACTCGACCATGCCCAAGATCTCCGACAAACCGCCCACCTCGCCGATGCCCTCACCACGACCCAACGCGAACCCGCCAATGTTCCAGCCGCAGATTGAGGTGTCAAGCCCAGCCGCGCAGCGTCCTCCCGAGACCAAGGAAGAGCCCAAGGAAGGCGGATGCGGGTGCTGTGTTGTGATGTGACAGCATACGGCGAGAATCCCAGGAAGGAAAAGAAAGTCCACTCGAGACACGGGGAGGCTTGCGCAAAAGCCGATTTTACGACCTTACGACACCTTTCGCTTTTTTTGATCCTCTTTATACCACCACACATCACACCGACACTAGCGACCGACGCTTTCCATTTGTTCGTTCGCTGGACAGTTGTCCGCGTACACTTGTTTAATCGACCGCTTTTTTTCTTATTGTGTACTTTGTCAGCTCGCACATTCTCCTGTCATTCGAGCGAAAACTGGAGTTTTTTCTTCTTTTTCTTGTCTTTTTCTACGACGGGCCTACTGGTCTGCTGCACACGTGGGGGCCGAAGTGAAGGGACTTGGGAGTCCTGGACGCATGGAGGAGCGCATCTTCGCCGGAGGGCTGTCAATGCAGAGGAGCGGAGCGAAGCGAAGCGCGCGAAATAGAGCAATTGAGCAAAGGCAGATGAATCCAAAGCTTTCTCCACCGTGGGTGACGACGTGCGTGACGAATTTGGACATTCCGAGATTGAGGGATCGCGAGTCTTGTCGAGTCGAATCTCGATGTTGGCGGCACGGACGCGGCAGTGATAGCTAGCTAACTAGCTTGGTCCTGAGAACGGGCAGCAGATTCCATTGCAGGAACGCTGAACCTAATCATTCGTCAATGGAACCGGATGGGACGGCAGATCTGGCGTTGCCGTGAGCCGGCCGTCTTGGGAGGGTCCGATCGCATCTGTCTGACATCATTGCGAGATGGGAGGCTATATAACGCCGTTAGGCACGGTGAAGTTCATGGCGAGGCGTATCAAGAGCAATTGTCTAAGGAGTACTCAGTAGGAACGGTCACGGCACAAGCAACACGTTGCATCGCATCAATCCAACGACCAGACACCAGCCGCCAAGATGGTACACCAGCATGGCGACCACCACAACATCCCTTCTCACTATCGTCGAAAAAGGCAAGCCAGATCAGTCTGATACAATGTGTAGCTTGACTAACTCGCAATAAGGCCTGGCGCCTGGCTGCCCGCAGACCACCGCATCCACCATGAATACATCCGACGCCAAACCGAGCACGTCCAAACACACCCCGCGGAGCCTCTGACGCCCGCCTTGCAAGCGTTCAAGGAGCTCATCGAGAACAACACGCGGGTGTACATGTACTTTCGGCAGATGTTCGAGGAGATCCCCAAGCAGCCAATCTACCAGATGGACGTGACCGGCAGCGCGCCGGCCGTCCGCGACTATGAGACCCTGCTGCAGGTCCTCAACCGCATCGTGGGCAAGGCGCCCGAGTGGACAGACGCAGAGGAGGCCGTCGGGGTCGTGGGCGTACCCATGTGCGCCCTGTTCGACTACCCCATGGGCACGCCCAGCGGCTACGCCGCATTCCTGGACCCGGATGTCAACAAGGCGCTGAGGCGGGTGCTCAATGAATGGGGCAAGTTCCTCCAGACGCCCGCCTCGGCCGAGGTCCTCAAGGCGGGCCCCGGTGGGTGGTTTGGCCAGACAGGACTCAGCGATCTCATGGAGGTGGCCAACAAGCCGCTCGGCACGTCGCACAGGTTCGAGGACATGTACCAGTGCGACCCCTCGGCCAAGCACTACGGCTTCCAGAGCTGGGACGACTTCTTCACGCGCAAGCTGCGGCCGGACGCGCGCCCCGTGGCATCGCCCGACGACGATTCGGTGGTGGCCAACGCGTGCGAGAGCAAGGTCTTCAACATCTCCTACAAGGCGCAGCTGCGGGACCGCTTCTACGCCAAGGGCCAGCCGTACTCCCTGCTGGACATGCTGGCGCACGACCCGCTGACGGAGCACTTTGCCGACGCCACGGTGTACCAGGCCTTCCTGTCCGCGCTGAGCTACCACCGCTGGCACGCGCCCGTCTCTGGCATGATCAAGCGGGCCTTTGTGCAGGAGGGCACGTACTTTTCCGAGCCGCTGTTTGAGGGCGTCGGCGCGCCGGGCAGCGACAAGATTGACAAGCGCGGCATCGGCCTCGCACAGGGGTACCTGTCCAGCCTGGCGACGCGGGCCGTCATCTTCATCGAGGCGGACAACAAGGACATTGGGCTCATGGCGGGTGTTTTTATTGGTATGGATGAGGTGAGCACGTGTGACATTACGGTGCAGGAGGGCCAGCACATTAAGAAAGGCAACGAGCTGGGCATGTTCCATTTTGGCGGCAGTTCGCACTGTCTCGTGTTCCGGAGCGGCGTCGAGCTGGAGGGCTTTCCTGAGCTGGGGCGGGAGGAGAATGTGCCCGTCCGGGGGAAGCTGGCCGTGGCGAAGGCAAAGGCAAGGACACAAGTAGGGACTTGAGTATTCACTGTGCTTAATACATATATATTCACTGGCCCGGTCAGCACCGACTCTAGTGCTGACGGCGATGAGGGACAGACTTGAGCTCCTGCTTATCCTAGTTATATAATCACCCTCCAGCCCTCGCACTCACTGCTTCGCGTCCTGCTTCATGCCAGCCTGCACCCACTTCTGGCCAGCCTTGGCGTCCTCCTCCAGCTCCTCGGGGCTCTTCTTCATCTGCTCAAAAGCAGTGTGCCGCGTGGGGACGTGTCGTCCGGCCTCAAAGCCAGGGCGCTCGAGCAGCTTGTAGAGCCACTTTTTGAGGGCGGGAAAGTCGTCAATCTCGACGCCGGCCCAGAAGCCGTGGGCGACCCAGCCCCAGCAGGAAATGTCGGCGACGGTGACCCTGTCGCCGACGAGGTAGCCGTGCGGGGCCTGGGCGAGGTGGGTGTCCATGGTGCGGTAGAGGCGGCGCGTCTCGTTGACGTAGCGGTTGATGCCGTAGGGGATCTTCTCGGGTGCGTAGCGGTTGAAGTGGTTGGCCTGGCCCTGCATGGGGCCGAGGCCGCCCATCTGCCACATGAGCCAGCTGGTGACCTCCCAGTGCTCGTTGCTGGCGTAGGGGTAGCTGACCTTGTGGTCCTTGTCGTATGTGGCGGCGAGGTACTCGAGGATGGCGCCCGACTCGAAGATGCGGATCGTGTTGCCGCTGGCGTCCTTGTCGGTCATGGCGGGGATGCGGCCGTTGGGGTTGATGGCGAGGAACCAGTCCTCCTTTTGCTCGTTCTTGTCAAACGAAATCTTGTGCACCTTGTAGTCGAGGTTGAGCTCCTCGAGCATGATGGAGGCCTTGATGCCGTTGGGCGTGCCCACGGTGTAGAGGGTGATGTCGGTGGGTGTCTTGGACGCCATGGTTGCTGGTGTGGTGGTGCTGAAGCTCCTTCGTGGGATGGGAGTGCCTCTCAATGGCTGGAGATGTCGGGCGAGGTGAGAGAGACGAGATGTCATGAGTGAGTGAGAGGGGAAGAGGTCGATGAGCAGCTGTCAGTGCACCGGCGAAGAGGTGAACTTTATGTCGATGAGATCATTCCTTCCACGTGCCGAGGGGCGGATGGTGGGGTTCGAGGCTTCAAGCCATCCATCTCCTTTGCTCCTGCCTGGCTCTGGAGTTACGGAATGCTCGAAGAACGTTATTTGTAATTGGCACCAGCGGGGGATCGAGTTATGGTTGTGCCTTCTCCGTCCGCCGCTTAAAATGCTGATTCCCATGGCGCCGGTGACCTCATGCATTTCACTGGCAATGACAAATCGTCGCGCACCCGATCGCGAGCTCCGTTTTTTTGGAATCTTCCATGTGTTCATCTCTCAGGCTGCGAACTCGGGAGCTGATCCACCAAGTCTCGCTTTACGTTGCCTGATGCAGCACGACATTTATAAGCAGACGGCAAGCCACAATGTTCTCCGCTTGTTCTACGCTTGGCGGCACGACTTGCAGAAGGCAATTGCTTATCCAGATCTCAACCGAAATGACCATTTGGACTGTTGGGAGTGTGAGAATTGAATGAAACGCACAACAAAAAGGGGCTCAGCTTGTCAATCCGTCTGCACGACCTGCACCAAAGCACCTTTGTCTACTTCTTACAGCCAGCCTTACGCTTTATCACCGTGTTCCAGCTCCCATTGACACTCAATCGCTGATACGCAACGTCCTTCTCGCCAGCCTGTCCAAAATCGAGTGCAAAGCTACCCTCCTCGCCGTCCCCTGCCGTCACTGTTGTGGCCTGGACATCGCCGGGCAGCCCGACCACTCTGTTGGATCCCTCTGTGAGATCAAAAGCAGCGCCCGGCTTGGACTCGACCCGCACAGTCACCACACTCCCCTGCCCCTTCTGGGAGCAGCTCGCTTCCATGTGAAGCGGGTACGTTCCCCTGGGTAGATCCTGGTCTTGCGAGGTAAGATGCATGGTGATGAGATCGTTCGACCCGAAGCGGACACTCTTCTCGTCCAATGTCATCCGCGTCGTGTAGAGGGATCGAGCGACCGTGGTGTCGTTGCGTCCGTGGTGCACGTAGAAGAGCTCCGCGCCCTTGGGGGTCCGGAGAGTGACGTCCTGCGCACCCACGTGCTCATTCTTACCCTTGGACGGCGAGGCGACGACGCTCCCGTGACCGGTCGAGTAGATTGGTATCGCGGCGTCTGGGTCTTGTGACAGTATGGGGTTGCTGGTGGCCTTGACGAACGGGCCCAGGGGTGACTCGGCCATGGCGTAGCCGACGCCGTAGTTGGACGCCTCGTAGTTGTTGGCGCTGTACAGGATTATGTAGATGGGCTCGCCGTCTTGTCCCAGCCGCTTGAGAAGCGTGCTGCCCTCGGACCAACGACGGTCCTTCTTGGTACCGTTAAAGGCCTCGTAGTCATTGACGTGGTAGTTCTCCCATGCCTGGGGATCGGCGCCGTACGAGATGACCGTCTGCCAACCGTCCTTGCGCGGCGGGGCACCGAGCGCGCCGGTCCCGTTGTACATGGTGATGTTGCAGGGAAGGCTGGGTGCGTCGTGGGCGTGCACGTCCTTTTGCGACGCGATGATCTCGGGCATGGTCGAGGCGGTCGGATCGTCCCACCACGTGCGGTCCATCTCGACGACGATGATATTGGACTCCTCAATGTACTTGCCCAGCTCGTCGTCCCAGTTCCAGTTGCGGTAGGCGTTGCGCGACAAGTACAGGTACACGCGGTCGTCCTCGTCAAAGAAGATGTTCACGTCAATGGTGGGGATAAAGGTGCCCATGGGCGCCGTTTGTCCCTCCTCCAGGCTCTGGGGCGGCAGCATCTGGTCCTTGTTCATGATCAGGTTGACGTCGTGGTAGTTGGGGTCAAACGGCCAGTAGTCGATGGGCTTGTCCTCAATCTCCTCAAACGGACCGGTGGGCGACTTGGAGACGGCGACGCCAATCTTGGAGGGCTCCTCGAACTCGGCGTAGCGAAAGTTGTCCGCCGTCAGGTCCTCGGTCATCCGCCCGGCGAAGAAGAAGAAGTACCACCCCGTCTGCTCGTTGTGGTACGTCTCGGGCGCCCAGTACCAGTCGCGCGCCCAACACGCCTGGCCACCCGGCAGCCTGTTCATGTCGTTGTCGTAGCAGGCGCGCAGCACGCCGCCCTCGTGGCGGTGCCATGTCGCCAGGTCCGGAGAACTGTAGACGGCAAAGTGGTATCCTGGGTCGGCGCCCTCGGTGGAGTAGGCGTAGTATTGGTGGCTCGTGGCGTCCCAGATGACATGAGGGTCTGCGCCAGGGTGGCGCGCCGCGTTGAAGAACTGCGGCGTCCTGCCCTTGCCAGGAGGCGCGGCGACGGCGGAGGAAGCTAGGATGGCGGTGCCGACAAGGGAATTGAGAATGCGCATCTTGTCAGGAGGCGATTAAACGGTGTATGGGGCACGGAGCACGGAGCACAGGCGTCTACGATGAAGAGGGCGGCTGGTGTTTAAATATACCCCAGACTCCCCATGCCATCCCCGCAGTCGGCAATCATCCTTGTAATTCGGTCTTATTCTGAATTCATGCTTCTTGTTACTCCGTAGATGACGCTGGCTCCAGTTTTCATCCTACAGGAGTCGACTTCGGGAGTCGGGCTGTTCAGAGCCGAGGACAGTCTGTGATCTTCACACGAGCCGCTCTCTTTTGCTCGAAGCTGCCCAAGTTAATTAGTCATGGCAAAAACGCCCTCATGATAGTACTGTCGAATTGGTGCTGTATGAGAAACAATGGCATGATACCGATGGCTCGGTCCGAGTTGGCAGAGTCTAAGAAACGAGAGTTCACTGCCGAGCCGAGAACTTGACGTGTCTGGCTTCTGTTTGTCATGTTTCTATTCGAGCGTATCAGAGGCGCATGTATGTGCTTCATCCCACAACCGCTAGTCAGTCTAAATGACGGTGATCCAGTGCTGCTTACCTTATCTCTAACGTAGAATATCATCTTCAGCAAGGTGAAGTCAACTATGAATCGCCCTTACGACTGATGTTGCAGGTCTCTCCTGAACGGCCTGAAGTCACCTGCCCTATACTGCCACAACTTTCGGCGGTCGCAAGTTGTACGTGCAGTGAAGCTCGCACTCTTCCGGTTAATGTCTGCTCAACGTTGCCAAAGAAGGATCAAGTAGAGTTATATTGCATCGACCAAACAGCGCTAGAACAAAAATTTGGGAAAGAGTGTTGAGCTGCCTTGAATCCTCAATATCGATTGGTTTCTCTCGGATAAACAGCAATGTAAAGAGACGCCACGACCACTTAACACAAGCGACGTATTGGGCGTATATCGGTAATTGATGAATTCAAATCCGTCGGCACCGACTGTCAGTTGCTGTTAATATCCTACGCAAGGCTGACTCTATGCATGGTCCGCCTTCCTGCCTGGGCAAACACCCCCGCAGCCATGGGCGCATCACACTTCAAAAGTCATCCTTATGGATTCTAGTCTTTAACAGCATAGAGACAGAGCTTCACGTCTTTTCGTGAATATCATCTCACGAGAAGGGAGTATTTCATTGCTCCACCAGTCGCATAATGAATCCGTTCAGCAGATCGCGCAAACGCGCAGCGGACAGGACTATCGAGATGAGAGCCCTGGGGGAAGCGCCCCCGACAACATCTTCCCCTCACGATGGAACAGCATACGTAACCACCGACTACAATGTCCCGGAGACCGCGTTTTTTAAGGCCGCCTCAGAACAAGGCATGCGCCACGTATCGTCAGTCGACTCGCTCGCCCAGCCGCCACGGCCCTCCCGGCCCTTGTCCTCCCACTTCAAGGCCTGGGCTGCCGAGGCGGGCGAAATTCTGCTAGCCATTGGGCTCTTCGTCGCACTTGTCATCATACTCGACACATACAATGGCAAAAGACTCCCACAATGGCCCCTGGGCCTGACCCTCAACACCATCGTCGCCCTCCTCGCCACGCTGTGTCGCTCCATCATCATCCTGCCCGTCGCGGAGGGCATCTCGCAGTTCAAGTGGAACTGGTTCGTGACCGGCAAGAGACCCATCAAGGACCTCCTCATCTTTGACCAAGCCAGCCGAGGGCCCTGGGGCTCCCTCCGCTTGTTGTTTCGCCTGCACGGACGACTCTTGCCGCTGAGCCACGTGGCGGCCCTGGTCCTGGTCTCTGGTCTCGCAACGTCCTTTCTCACGCAGTCTGCCGTGTCGTACGAGTCGCGACTCGCCGTCAGCGACAAGAGCGGCCGCGCGACGGTCAGGAGAGCCAGTGTGTATCCATCGACGACGGGCGAGGGGGACAGCAGCGGCGATCTCGAGGTGCTCAAGCGTACGGCTCTGCAGGCGACTTTTCTGCATGTCGATGACCACTGGCCGGTCCCTGAGCCGACCTGCCCCAGCGGTAATTGCGATTACCCCGTGTACCACTCTCTCGGGCTGTGCGTGAGCATGGAGAATGTGACGTCTGAACTGACGCGCAAGGAGACCGAAGAGAAGTATGGCGACACGAAAGTCACGCTTTCCTTCTCAACGGCACAGTGTTCCTGGAGGACCTGGTGCTCGCGGATTTCGATATGTCCAAGACCGTCAACGCGACGTCCCCGGAGCCCCTTGAGCCCACACTCGACGTACCTGACGCGTCGGGCATGTCCGACGAGGAAGTGTCTGACGCAATCGACAAGGCCATGAAGGAGATCACATGGCCCCGTGAGAGGAACTCGGTGGCAGGGTGGAAGAATCCTGACCTGCTGCCTGCGACTATTTCACAATTCTTCTTCATCTGGAATAACGATGAGGTACCGCCCCAGAACACGAGCAGCCGATACCGCGCGGCCGAGGTACTGTAGCATTTCTGCGTCTACACGTACAACACGACGGCCCGGGACGGCGATGCGACGACGGCCATGCTCGACTCGGTCACCAAGATTGAGGAGATTATCAAGGAGCCGGGGGCAAATACGCTTGTTCTGACCGACAAGGACGGCCAGGCCAAGTTCCGCATCTCGGGCAAGTTCGCCTACTCATCTCTCGACAGAACATTTCGACGGGCGTTTGAGGGCGCTTGGTCGAGTCGCTGGAGCATGGACAGAGACTACAGCGAGATCAACTCGCAGATGGCGATGAACCTGTTTGATCGCGGGACGGACGACGATGAGGTTTACTCTGAGATGACCGTGGTGAAGCGGGACGACATGCTGTGGGCCAATCTGGGCAAGATGACAGGGACCATTGCGCAGAGCGTGACGACGTACATGCGCAACGCAGAGAAGACGAACGGTGAGGTCGAGGGCCAGGTACTCCAGACAGAGACGTTTGTCGTTGTGCGATGGGCGTGGCTGGCGTTCCTGGCCGCGCAGATGGGGTTGACGATTGTGTTTGTGGTGGCTGTGGCGATGCACACGGCGCGGCTAGGTGTGGACGTGGTCAAGAGTAACAATCTCTCGGAGCTGTTTGCGCAGCGGGGAAGAGGGCGGGGAGAGGAGGAGGAGGAGGATGATGAGCAGCCGCTGCTGGGTATCAAGACGCAGGTAGATAAGTTGGTCCAGGGGCGCTTGGTCAGGACGAGCGAGGCGTGGGTGTTGGATGTGCAGAGGGATGAGGCGCCTGACGGGAAGCTGTGATTAATGTGGGATGTGTAGATGATGATCGAAACCTGAGTGAAGTTTTCCTGGTAGTGCCTTGGCCAATCCGGTGTCTTTGAGAACTGGAGGGGTCGATGTCCCAGGTTATGGTCTTGGGACGCGTGTTGGTTGTTCACTCTGAGACATAAGATTGCCCATTACATTTCGTATGCCTCGTTGGGGCGAACTCGACCTCTGCATACTGTAGAGAAAGTCCATGATGACCACGCGTGGCGGCCTAGGACAGAAGGCAGGGCATCTGGAACAGCAAAAGACCGACTGGGCCAGGCACTTGGATGAGTAACATGATGTTAGCGTGCTTTATTGCCCGTATACTTTATACTACTTAAACGGCCTCGAATCAATGGCTGTTCCCGATAAGCACGACGCATTCTTTTCTTATCGGAAACAGGAAACGCTGCGTCCCTGAATCGTTCGGTGGTCTCTCCAACTCTCGGTCCGAGACTCTGAGACTGTGTCTCGGTGTAAGAAGACTTTGTCCAGTCGTCAAGGAATGAACGACTTGCGCACTGCGCCTCGGCCAAGTAGAGGCGTCCATAATTCAAGATGCCAATATATTTGACTGAAGAAGTATTTGCAGCTCATTCTTCTATTCAGCATGAAAAATCTCGCGCGGCCTCGCCACTACGTAGCGTCCCCCGCCGGCCCGACATGGAGAGGGGCCCCAGTTTCCTCCCCCATGCATTCTCATGCATGCCATGCGCAGCATCCCCATCTTCTGTCGGCCCGTGGATTTAGCATAATAGTTGCATGCCCGATTGGTATATCCACGATGCATCTATTTGTATTGGTCTTCCTATGGCAGCTGCTTCCTCTTCCTCCATTCTCACATCTCATCATTATCAAGACCTCTAGGCAGTAAGAATGGGCTCCCTCGATCCTTTGCCACAATGGCACCACGAGCCAGTCTTTCACCTCAAAGCACCGAGGGGTTGGATTAACGATCCCTGCGCACCTGGCTATGATCCGTCCACGGGGACATACCATCTTTTCTACCAGTGTAGGTCGTCTATCATCCCGTGATCCCGCACATCCCAGGTTTGACCAGCTCACGCAGGGAATCCCAACTCTTGTGATTGGGGAGATATTACATGGGGCCACTTTACCAGCACAGACGGCCTGCGATGGCGGCACAATGGCAAGTGTCCTGCCATTGAGCCCGACATGCCCTATGACGACAAGGGCGTCTTCACAGGGTGCTTCTGGCCCACGGGCCCGCGTGGTGAGAAGGATCAATTGACGGTTGTCTACTCATCCATTGTCCAACTGCCTATACACTGGACCATACCGTACAGTCGAGACTGCGCGGGATTGGCCATGGCAACTTCACGCGATGGCGGGCAGACGTGGCGAAAAAGTCCCCTGAACCCGATTCTCAAGGGCGAGCCAGAGGGTCTGATAGTCACTGGATTCAGAGATCCATTCTTCGCAGAGTGGCCTGCGCTGGATCAGATGCGGGGCGAACAGTGCCTCTACGGTGTGGTCTCGGGTGGCATTGTAGGCCAAGGTCCCAATGCGTTTGTGTATGCCGTGTCGCCAGACGATCTCACCACGTGGTCATACCTGGGACCCCTGAGCGAGATAGCCGTCGACGCGCAGCGGCCGACCAAGTGGACAGGCGATCTCGGGTTAAACTGGGAGTGTGTCAACGTCGTCACGCTCGAGACACAGGATTTCCTGCTCATGGGAACCGAAGGCGGCCAGAAGCGCGGGCACCCCTCAAAACACGAGGTGTACGCCATGTGGATGGCCGGAACTCTCGAGCAGACAGCAGATGGACCGCGCATGCAGCATGCGTACAATGGCTTGCTGGACCATGGTAGCTTCTATGCTGCCAACTCTCATCTCGACCCGATCACGGGCCAACGTGTCGTCTGGGGCTGGATCAAGGAGGAAGAGCTCACGCTGGCGAGGAGGGAGGCCAAGGGCTGGACGGGCTGCCTTGCGCTTCCGAGAGAGGTCTTTCTGCTCAAGGTGCCAGATGTGGTTGGCACGCTCAAGACACCTTTGGGTGAGATTGAGTCTCTGCGAGTCAGCCCCGAGGGTATCGAAACGCTGGGAATTCGGCCACTGAAGAGCCTAGCTTCGCTGCGCAGGACACAGCCTAAGACCATCACGAATATTCCAGGCGTATTTGGCAGGACCCGTCTCCCGAATCCGTCCTCGGGCAGCTGGGAGCTGGAGGCCGTCGTGAACGTGCATCAGCAGCATCAGCGCGTCGGGTTCTACCTCAACCACGACGAAGACTACCACCACAAAACCAGCCTCCACTTCTCGCCGCAGGATGAAGAGGTCGTGGTCGAGAGAGAGACGTCAAACAGCGAGGACGACATTGTCCGCAACAACGTCAGCGGCGGATTCACGCTCTTCGTGACGGAGAAGAACGGCGTCGAGTCCACCGAGAAGCTGCATCTGCGAATCTTCCGCGACGGCGACGTCCTCGAGATCTTCGCCAACGACCGCTTCGCTCTGTCCACCATGGTATACGCCAACGGGGCCGACTGCATAAACCTGAGCTGCTTCGTCGAGGGGGCCGAAGCTGACATTGTCTTTGAATCGATAGCAATATGGGAGGATCTGGACCGGGTACAATTCTGATGATGATGATAATAATCGAATTCATGTAACACCTCGCATCTCGACACTTGGGTGTCTTTCTTTGAGTAAACGAACCTTGTGTAGGAGATATTGCCTCTGGTCGTCGCGGATTCGCTCCAGGCCGAGTAAGAAATGGACCAGGAAGACCAAATCTCGTACTTGGGCTGTCAACTCGGTCTCGACCTTGTCGGGCCCGACGGGGAGGGTCAGGACGTCGGCAATGGTGTTTGTAATCTCAAAGAGCTTCTGCACAATGCCGCTGCCTTGCGTGCTGATGCTCGCCATGCTATCCAGCCGGAGCACAAGCGTCCGGAGCTGCGTGGACAGCCGCTGCGCTGGGAAGTGCAGGGAGAGTGCTTCGTGCGTCGTCGGCACCGAACGTAATAGGCCGCGCGACAGGGCGAGCTGCCAGACGACGGTCCGCATCCACAGCCTCGTGACGTAAATGTCGGCGTGTTGCGACTCGCTGAGGCCGGCGCCGTCACTCATCCTGAGCATAATCTCGGCTTGTTCGGCGTTGTGCTCGTCCGCGTCGAGTTCGGCCTGCCGGCTCTCGACCCAGTGCACGTCCAGCGCGGGTATGCTCTCGTCGTCTGCCTCCTCGTTGACGCGATAAGCCACGAAGCGACGGTCCATGATGCGGAAGAGACTGATCAGCCGGTTGAAGCCGACCTGGATGCTGGGCGGCAAGCTGGCGTCGTGGTCCGGGAGGCCCACGAGAGGTGTGAGGATGGCAGGGTAGCCAGAATGCATGGTGAGGAACCGCTCGTGGATAAAGGCCTCCCAGTACAGTCGCTGGAACTTGGGTCGTTGGGTGCCTTGCGGGATCGCATCGTCGGCCTTGAGCGTCTGTAGCATGGTGATACCCTCCCGCAGCAGGGCGAAGCTGCGATCGAAGCGCTTAAAGGCCATCATGGCGATCTCGAGGTAGATGCAGGTGGTGATGCGCTTGATGCTGACAAGGGACTCCTCAATGAGATGGCCGTTGGGTCCGATGCGGAGATCGGCGCGCTTGTGCGCCTCAAGGCTCAGCTGCATCATCTCATTAACCTGGGCGCTCGCGAGACCGGAGACCCTGTTGTCGGGCTGGGCGAGGAAGGTGGTGACGGCCCCGTAGGCGTGGACCAAGGCGGCGTCCTCGAAGCTGTCGTGCATGTTGGCAATGGCGCTCTCCACGTCTTTTGTGTCGAGGATTGGGTTCACCGGGTAGACCAGCTTCTCGAACTGGGGAAGCAGTCCGACGAAAAAGGCTGGTGTGTAGGCTGTCGACGAGGCCAGCGAGTCGAACAGCGACAGGGCGCGAGGGCTGAATGATGCCGACCCAGGTGAGACGGCTGACTTGCGTGCGTCGGATGGCGAGTTGGGCGAGTGGCCGCTGTCGTCCTGGAAGCCCGCCTCGTGCGGGTGGTGGTGGTGGTGCTCCTCGCCGCGCACCTTGGCCACGAGCCGGCCGCGGATCGGGTTCTTGCGCTTGCTGGCGGGCGTGACGACGCATTGGACGTCAAAGTGGACGCACTGGTGGCACGGCTGCTGCCCGTCGCATTTGACCTTGCGGATTCGACAGCCGTCGCAGGCGCGAGACGTACGGTGGGCGGACATGGCAGGCGATGGTGGAGGTGTGTGTCGCGACGATGACACATGAGACAGAGACGCACGTCGCGTCGACGCGTCTACCGTGAGGTCTGCACACGCAGCGCCACGGTGACTGTCGCTAATCGGGTCGAGGGTGCGAGTTGATGACCGGCGAGGTCAAGGCTTTGCGAGCATCGGATTGGTGTGAGGAGGGTTGTAGTGTGAGGTGAGGCTGTCACGACTCAGTGCCTCACCACTGTCACTACCCAATGAGCCACTCACTCACTCAGGGCTCACCGGGCACCCGCTGTGGGAGGGGCCCGACATCCGCGGGGACATGACTTGAGGCAGGACCCAGGCATCACGTTTCCCCCGCAAATCCAGTCCTGACTTCCAATCGCAAGTTCCGCCAGGCTCCAGCTGCAACGACGCGCCTTTCATCAGTTCCACCACCGATGGCATCGACATTCACATCTACGTACATACTCCCGTCGCACTGTTCAACAACGCTTCTCATTAAAGCTCTCTCAATGGTGCGCTCTATGCAAAGCTTCAGTGGATTCTCCTTCTCTCGCTACGCGTACCGCGACGTGGTGGGATCAAGCTCGTTCACAATGTCCGTTGTCTGCAACAATATGCGGTCCACAACTTCTCGAAAACATTTGACAATGACCGTCAAAGGTGCACATACATTGCGGTCTGAGACTTGCAGAAAAATCCATCATTACTTACATGCGCCCAAGACACTATGAACCAAAAAAAAAACTCCAACCCGACCTTGACAGAAACACAAACGCCCGGGCCTCCAGAAGAGAACAGCAAAGGCAGAGGCCAACGCCCCGAACCCACTTTGAAACTTTCAAATACCCTGGCTTCGAAAACATCCTGCAGGCGAAGTGCGACTTGACTCGCTAGCCACCGAGGAGGACGGACAGGGATCCTCCAGTGCAGAGACCCCCAATGCATTGGCAGGGGCTGAGACCAGCAAGGCCAACGCAGGCGTTGAGGTTGACGACGCAATTACTGCGTTTCGAGCAGCTCAACGACTTGCAAGTGCCCCCTTCGCAAACTTGGGTATCGCTGCAGGCCGGGCCGCTGCCGCACCCAGTGCCGCCGCCATTGCCGTCGTCAGTAGAGTCACCAACGCCATCGACAACATCATCGACAGTATCATCGACAACATCATCGACAGTATCATCGACAGTATCGACAGTGTCATCAACAACATCGACAGTATCATCGACAGTATCATCGACAGTATCATCGACAGTATCGACAGTGTCGTCGATAGTATCATCGACAGTATCGACAGTATCATCAACAGTATCGACAGTATCATCGATAGTATCATCGACAGTATCGACAGTATCATCAACGGTATCGACAGTATCATCGATAGTATCATCGACAGTATCGACAGTATCATCAACAGTATCGACAGTATCATCGATAGTATCATCGACAGTGTCATCAATAACATCGACAGTATCATCGACAACATCATCGACAGTATCATCGACAGTATCGACAGTGTCATCAACAGTATCGACAGTATCATCGACAACATCATCGACAGTATCATCGACAGTATCATCGACAGTATCATCGACAGTATCATCGACAGTATCATCGACAGTATCATCGACAGTATCGACAGTGTCATCGACTACATCCGTCACAATGGGTTGACAGCCGCTGAGTAGGCTGCAAGTCTGGCCCTCAGGGCACACTTGTCCCGTACCAAGGCAAATGCGGGCGCTCAAGATGCACTGACCCAAGAGACAGACATTGAGAGTGCCATCGCAGCTGCCGTCGCACGTACCATCCCCTGGCACGCTGACAGCGGCGGTGCAAGTGTTGTCTTCACCGCAGATCTCGCCCTCGGCACACAGGACGTCGGCGCAGACACGGGCGTTGAGAACACACTGGTCAAACAGGCACACGCTGATATCGCTGCACGTTTCTTCGCCACAGGGACCTCCAGTCGAGATATCGACACATGCATTCGCAAAAAAGTTACAAATCTGGGCAATGCTGCACAGATCTGAGCCACACACACGGTCGGAGTCGACACACTGGCCATCGAAGCATGTCTCGGGGTCAGTGCAGGTGACACCATCACAAGGATCGGTCTCGCCGCCGTTGTCAACGCATTGGCTGTTTTCGCAAGTCTGATCAGGTCCGCAGAGGACCGGGGGAGTGCCACAGAGATTGGTGCTAAGAACGCAATCGCCCTGGAAGCAGACATCGAGAGGATCCGGGCAAGTGACATCGTCACAGGAACCGGTCTCACCGCCGCCGCCACTAGGTGAACATGCGCCATCCTGGCAGATCTGGTCACCCAGGCACACGACGTCGCCGCAGATGAGATCCGGGAGGACACACTCGCCGCCGAAGCAGATGTTGGGTGGAGAGCAGTCCCCGCAAGACGTGTCCACTGGAATACACTGCCCGGCGACGCAAGTCTCATCTGTCTCACAGACCGTGTCGGTTCCGCAGATGAGCTCAGAGAGGACGCACTGGTCGTTGAGGCAAACTTGCGCAGTGGTGCACTGTGCGCCACCGCAATCCGTCGGATCACCGACATCGATGCAAACATCGCCGGCGCACGTCTGGTCGGGACTGCAGATGATGGAGCCACACAGGAGGTCAGAGAGAACGCATTGGCCGTTGAGGCAAATCTCAATGTCGCTACATGTAGCGCCGTCGCAGTCGTCGGGATCATCAATAGGAATACAGACTTCACTGTCGCAAGCGGTGCCGTCCGGGCAGAGGATGCCACCGCAGAGGTCTGAACGAGGTACACAGACGTCGTCCACGCAGAGCTCGTCCGATGTGCAAGTGTCCCCTCCGCAGAGATCCGGGGCTTGGTCAGGCACGCAGACACTGTTGATGCACGTCTCATCAGCGCCGCAGGTCTGCCCGCCACACAGGCCAGGCACACAGGCGCCGTCGACGCATGTCTCGTCGCTTTGACAAATGGCTGTCCCACCACAGAGGAGGTTGTTGGGCACGCACTGGTCGTTGACACAGATTTCGACACCAGCCTCACAGGTGCTCGAGCCACAGCTGTCAGTTGCATCGGGCACACAAACACCGTTGACACAGGTCTCGCCGTCGCCGCAAGGATCGTCGGCGCAGTCGCTGGGACCAGTCAACGGTACGCAAACATCGTTGACACAAATATCGGTTCCTTGACATGTTGTGCCGCCGCAATCTCCAGTGCTTACTGGCACACAGATATCTCCGACGCAGGTCTCCTGGTCAGTGCAGGTTGTATCGCCGCATTGGCCACCGCCGCCATTCGGCACACACACGTTGTTGATGCAAGTCTCGGTATCATCACAAGTGGCACCACCGCAAGTGCCACCGGCGTTGTTTGGCACGCAAACACCCTCGAAGCATGTCTCGTCGGCAGTGCAGGTCTGGCCATTGCAGGCGCCCGGTGTGGTGTTGGGCACACACGTATTGTCGACGCAGATCTCGGTGCTCGTGCATGTCGTGTCACCGCAGGTCACCGGTGGAATGGTGTCAGGGACGCAGACACCCAGCACGCAAGTCTCGTCACCAGAGCATTGGCCACCGCAAGTATCAGGCGGTGGAGTATCAGGCACGCAGCTGTTGTTAAGGCAGATCTCGTCGTCGGAGCAGTCGTCGCCACCACAGTTGTCCGAGAGGGGTACTGGTGTGCAGAGACCTCCGATGCAGATCTCACTGTCTTCGCAGGTGTCGCCATTGCAGTCACTGGGATCGCCCTGTGGGACGCAATTGTCCAAGATGCAAAGGAAGCCGTCAGGGCAGGTTCGGCCCTCCGCGCCGCAGTTCTCAGGGCCCGTGATCGGGACGCAGGAGCCGTCGACGCAGGTGGTCCCAGCCGGACAAACGCCATTCTCTTGACGACGGAAGAAGAACAAGCGGCTGGGCAATACGGCGCCGCAGGACTCAGGATCGGTGATGGGGGCGCAGCTCCCAGGGGCACTGGGATCGCTGCCAGCCCGGCAGATGGAGTTGGCTGGGCACGGCGGGTCGCACTGAGGACCGCCAGGGGGGATTCCATTGCCACCGTCTCCGTTGCCGCCGTCTTCGTTGCCGCCGTCACCGTTGCCGCCGTCACCATTGCCACCGTCTCCATCGTCACCGCCGCCGTTGTCGTTGTCGTTGCCGCCGTCTTCGTTGCCGCCGTCACCATTCCCACCATCTCCATCGTCGCCGTCGCCGTTGTCGTTGCCGTTGCCGTTGTCGCCATTTCCGTTGCCGCCGTCTCCATTGTCACCGCCGCCGTTGTCGTTCTCATTGCCGCCGCCTGAGTCACCTCCTTGAGGATCTCCGCCGGCACCAGAACCGCCAGCACCAGAGCCACCAGAGCCACCAGCACCGCCAGAGCCAGAGCCACCAGCGCCAGAGCCACCAGCGCCAGAGCCACCAGCACCAGAGCCACCAGCACCAGAGCCACCAGCGCCAGAGCCACCAGCACCAGAGCCACCAGCGCCAGAGCCACCAGCGCCAGAGCCACCAGCACCGGAGCCACCAGCACCGGAGCCACCGGCACCAGAGCCACCAGCGCCAGAGCCACCAACACCGCCAGAGCCAGAGCCACCAGCACCAGAGCCACCAGCACCGCCAGAGCCAGAGCCACCAGCGCCAGAGCCACCAGCGCCAGAGCCACCAGCGCCAGAGCCACCAGCACCGCCAGAGCCAGAGCCGCCAGCACTATAAGGGTCCGAGTTGCCGGGCTCCGCGCCATTGGAGGCGTCAATGCGGAGACTGGGCGTCGCATTGCCATCATCGCCATCCGGGTCCTGACATACCTCCACGGCGGGGTCCGATTCGGACTCTTCTGACAGCAGATCGGGAACGCAGATGTCCGCAATACACACATTGCCGTCCTCGCAGGGTTCGCCTGAGTTGCAGGCTGAGAGGTCCGTGGTAATCGAGATGAGGGTACACTCGCCATTCAAGCAAATCGAGCCAGCTCCGCAGCCATCGCTGCCACAGTCCTCGTCGTCGTCCTCCGCAGGTGGGAGTTCGAGTGTCTCACAGGCGTCGAAAATACATAGCTCATTGGTCGCGCATGCCACGCGATCAGGGCCACAGTGATTCGAGTCTGTGCCGACACTCAAGCTGGCGCACACGCCATCATTGCAGCTCGCCCGGAGGGGACAATCAGCCGAAGAGTTGCAAACAGCAGAGTCCGTGCCAATGGTGAAGGGAGTGCATTCGCCCTCCAAGCACCAGTTACCGGGTTCGCAAGCCACGGCTGGGTCACCGCAGCTGTTGGCATCTGAGCCAAGGTTGAGTGGAAAGCAGACGCCGTTGACGCAAAGCTCACTGGCGGCGCAAGTTGTCTCGTCGATGCCGCAGCGTGTAGGATCGACCGCGACTTGAATAGGCTTGCATGTATTGTCGCTGTCGCACACCTGGCCGACACCGCACGAGTCATCGCAGTCAGGGCCTCCGGGTGCAGTGAAGTTGAGGGGAATGCAGGATCCGGCAACGCACAGCTCTCCAGACTGACAAGCGTCACCTGGACCGCCGCAGTTGGCCGGGTCGATGCCAATGGTGTTGGGTGTGCAGGTGCCACCAACGCATATGCCGCCGTTGGAGCAAATATCAGTGGCAAAGGGGATGGGGGCTTGTCCTTCTTGTCGGACATTGAAGTGCAGTACGGATCGAGCTGTGGCGAGGGTCGCCCACAGCGCCAAGGACTTGATGGGCGCCATTGTGAAAAGAGTTGGTATGGCAATGATCCTACTGGCGAGGATCTTGGGGAGATGCGACAATGTGCATCAGGGAACTCTGGGACAGCTTTATATCAGGACGTCCGAGTGCCGGGGCCGTTCCCATCCTGCAAGCACCAGGGATCTCGTGGATACGCAACGGTCTGGACCATGGCGAGATGGCTCATCCTTCGCACTCGCTACTCGAATCGGAAGAGCTAATCAGTCCAGTCGCGGTTTGCGCCTCAAGCTGGTGGATGCCAAGGCACTGTTCGACCACGACGCCAGCCAGCTAAGCTGTCCTCGACGGCCGCCAGCATTCCAGGAAACCGCCATGTAGATTACCAGCTGCGCGGGATGATGGACGATGTACGTCAACAAGAGAAGATATGGATGCCTCGATCATGATGGTACGTGACTGAAGAAACATTTGCTAGCTGGACTTGGCCAAGGCCATGGCGATGGAGGCTGGGTGCTCACGGAGGAGGCTGACATGACTGTCTTTGATTGGAGTAAGAGCCCCAGATGGGTGCTTGACCGGGCTGGAGTTTTTATCCCAACCCTGGATTCTAGGCGCTGATGCTGCCTGGGACTTGGCAATCATTGCAGTCGCCTGCAAGTCTGTTGACGGGAGCAAAATCTGTGGAGCATCTTGCCAGACACACCCTGCCACGTCTTGCACCACTGTGGTGAGGAGCCCTCATGCTTGTGCCATGGACATCAAATGCTATGATATTGGCTACACTTCAGGGGTATGCACTCGCGCCACCGTGCTAGCACGGCAGTGCTTCCGGAGCAGTTCCCACGGTATGAGACGGCACAGCAGCTGCGAAAAGGTTGACTGAGACTAGGTTTCGGCCTACGGCGCATCCGATCTAACGTTAAATCTAAGACGCACGCGAACTAGGGCCCGATACGTCCACCGCTGTCACAGAAACGAGCTAGGCCACCCGTAGGAGCACGAGTCGTTGACTGTACGCTCTTGGGCGAGACGTATCAGGCATGATGCAAATTGCATTTGGCATTTGGCAGCTATGTAGTGCTGCACCTGCGGCCACTGCCGTGTTCTGAGCGCCAGCCGTCGTAGCTAGCGCGCCAAAGGCCCAAGTGTGCGATGTTACAGACTGCTCAACGTGAATGCCGAGACCCCCAATCACGATGTAGAGAATTCCCCTGATCTGATCTTGACGTAGAAACCGTGCTTGGTAAGACAAGCCGGGAGAAAAAAGGGTCGCCGGCCCCCAAACAGATGGTGTTGCTGCTCTCTCCGCCGTGCCACGATGGGGAAAATGATTTCTTGGCTTCTATCCAAGCACAGCTAGAAGTGAGTGGGGCCAGGGTGGGTGATGGGCTTTCCACAATGCTAACTTGAAGGAATGATGGCTTGAGGCGCTGGAATGCCATCTTGCCAAGCCAAGGAAGGGAATCGTAGATTTGTAGAGCGGGGGGTCGGCGTTGACAGTTCTCCTAGGTGGCGTTCTACTAGTTGATCCTAATCCTGCGACATGGAGATCTAACACGCGAACACAGAGCACCCAGTTCCAGGTGAATGAAACCATCGTTTAAGCCTACCTAGCTTGGACACGTGTGAAGCTCATGGCCATGGAGACTTTGAACACGGAAGCTGAATACAAGACTAAATACATGGAGTCGTTTGATAGAAAGACTAAATTTGACCTATGCGACGGTGACGGTTAAACGGATACGGAGTTTGGAGCGGTTTGTAACCAACCTTCTGATAGCGCGTCAGATGATAAGCACCCGTTGCAGACCATGGCAAGCTCTGGCTCATCCAAGAACCCTTTTTCCAGTGCGTTTGAGGATATCCGCATCTTAGACAAAACAGCGCATTCCAGGGGCTGCGCCCCGCCAGTTCAACCGTCTATACCCTTTCCGAGCGTTTTGGTCTAGATTGGATCTAGGTAAACTCTTAGATCTAACATGCCAAACATGTATGCATACAGTGACTGTAATAGCAAGGATGAGGCGGGCCTTATACGGTGGGACCCCGACAGCTGTATTGATGTGCCAGAGTCATCATCCCACAACGCGTCACCACGTCCAAACTTGGTTTCAATATGTATCTTCCTGGGTTAGTCGATCGACGACGAATGCGAGAGATCTTTGGTGCGGTGCTACTAAACTTAAAATGGACGTTGACACACATGGCAAGGGTCTGACAGGACAGTCTAGGACTACGTATCTCTCTCATGCAGAGCAACTTATCCTGAGCCTGAGCCTGAGCCTGAGCCTTGATGCTCGACAGCACACCTTTGGCATCGCCTCATGCTTGCTTTTTGCTATGCTTGCAGCAAATTTTCTAGAGTTTTGGGAAACGTCAAGTAGTTTCATGTTGTTTTCAAGCAGGTTGGTCGCGTATCTTGGGCTTAGTAAGTTCGTAAGTTACGTGGAGCACTGGGGCCTCTTGCATCGCACGCGGCCATCGCGGCATATTCAATAACCTCAAGGTGATAGGTACTGGACAAGACTAGTACGAATTCAGGGCACGAGAGCGAATACTACTCGGTTCCGAGCATGATTGACTTTGCCGGAGTAGATAAACATCCGTGCCAAGAACGCCCCCGGATTCCATCAAACTGCGGCTCGCGAGTGAGCCGTGCGCTAATTAATTATCATGTCCGTCCAGACGCCAACGACGTCAACCCGTCCATTTTCTGTCACTTCATTGACATTTGACACTGACAGGTCTCCATCAATCAATCTCCCTCCACACCCTCCACACACGCACGCACGCATCGGGACACGCTCAGACTACTTGCGTGTCTGTTGGCATATTATCGCACACCAAAACAGATGGCGTCGACGACACAATCCGTCGAGGCGCGTCTCCACGCCCTCCTCCCGTCGCACCCATCGCTGCGCACGTCCCTCTTACCCGCCCTCCTCACCTCCTTCACCCAGATTGCCCAGACCCTGCGGACATCGCAGCGCGTGGCCCTCGCTGGCTCGGCCAATCAGTTTGGCGATGACCAGCTCAACGTCGATGTCAGCTGCGAGAAGCACATTCGCGACGCGCTCGAGGGATGCCCCAGCGCCGTCGTGGCGAGCTCAGAGGAGGACCCCGTCGAGGTCGCCGTCGCCCACGCCCATGCTCCTCCTTGCGCGCAGACAGACGTGGAAAGGTACAGTGTTGCCTTTGATCCGCTCGACGGTAGCTCCATCATTGCGCCCAATTGGACCGTGGGCACGATTGTGGGAGTGTGGGCGGGGGACACGGCCGTGGGCGTCTCCTCGTCGCAGCAGATTGCGAGCCTGTTTGGCGTCTACGGACCCCGGACGACAGCGTACATGGCCATACGGGTCCCGGGCCAGGACGGCGGCGGCGTGTGCGTAGAGCTAGGTCTGAACGAGGACAACGGCACCTGGGACGTGTTGCGTGAAAATGTCACCCTGACGCGCGAACCCAAGGCCAGATACTTTGCGCCGGCGAATCTGCGTTCCGCGGCGTACAGCGAACCGTACATGCATCTCATCAATCACTTTATTCGGGAGCGGTATAACCTGCGCTACTGCGGCGGTCTCGTACCGGACCTGGTGCACACGTTTGTCAAGGGGCACGGGGTCTACGTGTCGCCCGTGACGGAGCGTGATGGGCCAAAGCTGCGTAGGCTGTACGAGTTGCTACCCGTGGCGCTCCTGATGGAATGCGCGGGCGGCAGGGCGGTGGATCCGCAAGATGGACGCGACGTGCTCGATAGAGACGTGGGAGGGACAGAGGAGAAGGGGGGTCTGGTGTGTGGGAATGCGGAGGACGTAGAGATGGTGATGAGGACGCTACGGAGTGGTTAGGGACGGAAGATGATGAAACTTTAGAGTAAGCTATCACAATACTATCTGTGCTGTCGAGGATGGAGAGGTACGTAGACAGCAGGAGAGACGGGACGTGAGAGATCGCGTGGCTGGAATGGTTTTACCCTGAGACGACTCGAGAACCCTGGAATCTCTTATTGCTGATAAGCACATTGGTGTAAGCACATTCTTTCCTGAGCCAAATGCCAGATGGGCGATATGGCGTAGTTGGAAGGGGAGGAGGACATGAAGCGACATGAGGAGATAGGGTATCTAGAAGTTGACTTGCGCTGACTCATTACTAAGCCCCGCCACCCCTTATCAGTGTTCATCCACACTTTCACTGGAGGACAAGATGACATCCTCCATGTCAACATGCCCGCGAGCAGGAAAAAGGCCGCCAAGGGCATATTCAGGACCAGACAGGGTCCTGCGGTGGCACAGCAGGTCTGCCGCACTGCTGATGACGGCCAACACCAACTGGCCCTCCAATTCGTAAATGTCGACGACCCCGAGCAAATCAAGGATCGAGCGACGCAGCAGAGGATCCGTCGTCATGTCATGCTCAACGTGGGCCAATCCCGCAAAAAGGGCACACGCAGGGGAATTAAACGACCTCCGCTGCCCCGGAACCCGTCTCACTGGGGGGAAGTCAAAGTATGCTCCAATTTCGAACGGCTCTTTCGAGCCATGGATGCAGTCTCACATGGTCTGCTGTCAATCACACTAGGGGGCAGCATGGCGAAGAATCGCAGTCAGCGGATGCCTCTCAGCGAGATCCAGCAGTACACAGACTCGCTTGGTCTGGTGCGGCAGAGTATCACGCACAAAACAGCCAGGGCAGTGAATCGAGACCTTGTCATCGGCACCGTGATCTGTCTGGCCTATTTTGATGTAAGTTTGGTCTCATGCACCGACACCTTGTGTTGATAACTTTCCACAGCTGCAGACGCACAATCTTGAAGGATGGGAGGTGCACATGCGCGGGCTGGAGAGCATCGTTGCGCTCCATGGTGGCGTGGAGGCTCTCGAATCACACCCTGCCCTTCGCCAGTCTCTCTTCCTCGTCGACGTGCTCGGGTCGCTGATCTGTGACGCGCCGCCACGGTTCCCACAGCTACATTGTCCGTACGCTCCCGTACGCCGTGGAGGAACGGACGACTCGCCAGCATGTCTCATTGACCGTGCGATACAGTCCTCATCGCGTTTGGTGGCATTGCTCGACGGCTTGCCACAAACTTCAGTGGAGCAGATGGCCCTCGATCTTATGATCCCGGTATGCCAACTCGCGCATGACGTCTTGTCACTCCCCCGGTTGGAACAAGGCAGTCACGGAGAGGGTAAGGGTCCTCTGGCCTCAAGCGGACGGCGATTGTCTGCCGTGGCAGAGCTGGTCCGCCTCTCGGCACTGGCTCTGTTATCCACGGTGATCACGACGACATCGGAGGATGAGCTCTTCTGTGCAACACACCGACAGCGCCAGGGCTATGCGCGACATCTCCTGGCGCGCACTGACCCTGGCGACTGGGCAGGAAGGGAGCTGACCAAGCTCTGGGTCCTGGTCGTCCAGGCATTAATGGAGCCGGGCCCAACGGGAGCATTTTTCCTCGACGCCATTATCGGAATAATGGAAATTCTGTCACTACATTCATGGGAGGACGTGCTGTCTGGCCTACGCCAGGTTGCATGGACGGCCCCCGCTGCTGCGAAGGGAATGGCATGCCTGAGACACGATATCGAAGCTCGACTGGGCACGGAGAAGTGATCTTGCCGCAAGGCCAATGGCTGTTTCTCTGCATAAAGCTACGGCAGTGCCTGAGAATTACGCGCAACGCTCAGTACGTAACACCGCCGTTCACGCCAATGTACTGTCCCGTGATCCACCTGGCCTTTTCGTTGATCAGGAGGAGTACCGCATCCCCAATGTCCTCAATCGTACCTGCGCGGTCCGCAGCACGTGTCAGGGCAATCTCGGGCTGCATGAGATCGTCCGCCAGTCCCTCGGGGTAGAGGTCGGTCTTGACTGGGCCAGGGGCCACCGAGTTGACGGTGAGGCCTCTGCTGCGACCAAGCTGTGAACCGCACGCGTCAGCAAGTCACGTCTTCCACGAAGCAAGAGACGTTTGATTGATTACCTCCTCCGCCCATGTCCAGGTCAGACTATCCAGGGCAGCCTTGGACGCTGCATACGTGGAAACATGGGCGTTTCCTCTCTTGGAGTTGGTTGAGCTGACGTTGATGATGCGGCCCCCGCTTGGCATGTACGGAATGACCGCGTTCACCATGTAAAAGGGACCGAGGGTGTTGGTCTGAAAGATCTTGGCCAGCTCCTCGACGTTGGGCTCCTCTGTGATGCGGCTGAAGAAGGCCACGCCCGCGTTGTTGACTGTGTTGGGTCAGCGCTGCTCGTCCTACCAAGAAGCATCTAGGCTGCGTACCCAGAATATCAATGTGGTCCGTCTGGAAGCCTAGGAGGGTCTGCTGGACGAGATGACGGGCCCCCTCGATGGTGTCCACCGCCGACTGCACGACAATGGCCTGGCCGCCCAGCGCGCGTAGGGTGTCAGCGACACGGGCGGCGCGCGCCTTGGAAGCATCCGATACATGGTTGACCACCACGGAGGCGCCGTTGCGCGCGAGGACGTACGCGATGCCGGCGCCGATGCCGTTTTCGCGACCGGAGCCGGTGACGATGGCGATCTTGCCGGAGAGACTGAGAGTGTCGGCTGTCATGCTGGCGATGGGTGCATGTGTTGAGCACGAAGAAGCGAGGGAGTTTGCGAGGAAAGACGAGTAGGTGAACTCTACAGTTCCTTATATACACCGTCCTGTTCTATATGGCCAGTCGAGCTTTGTTGACTGGACCCTGGCCGCTGAGGACGACTCTGATGCCGTTGGCCAGCTGAGGGTATCGCAGGCGTCGAAAATTACCCAATTGGGAAAATGGTCAGGTCAGTAGCGCGTGGGTCAGTCTCACAGTCTCGCCAAATGCCTTCCTTCTGTTGAATTGAAGGCATTCTGTTGAATTGCGGAGAAAGTGTTACAGAAGAAGGAAAAAGGTCGTGAAAACGATATAGCAGGGTCATGGATGCTTCATCGCGTCAGAAACCGCAAGTCCGCCATAGCATCATCTCGAAGCTCAACTAGCAGTGTCGCTGCAGAGCTCCAGAACCAATAAACGCATATGCGCCTGTATGCAGTTAACGGGTCGCACCTCGGTAGGGCTGGATGATGAATCAATCATTTGTAAATGTGCATCTGATGTGTAATCGGACAGATGCCGGGAATAACTCTATAATTCTCCGTTCTGTTAATTCCATTTTCAATAAACAGTCGCCGACCTTCCTGCAAGCGCAATGAAAACACATCACTGACATCAGCCCTTGACCGTTGACAAGCAGGGATGGTGATCCTCCATTCAAAGAAAGAAAGGTCAGATCAATTTCGGGGTCTAGCCACCTTGCTCAGACGGTCGGCGACTATGCATTCCTTTAGTGAAGAAGTAAGCGCAAAGTTTGCTGGTCGCCGACTACCGCGAGTGAGTTGCCTCCTCGGGGTCCTACCACCGTCAGCTAATTGGCTAGGCTGCCCGTGCAACGGGATACTGCATATGTTCAATGCTTGTCAGATGCTGCCATGCTGATGTGGCAGCCTATTTTGCTCTACGTAGGGCTGAGGGAAAGTTTCTCGAGGTCGTGTTTGTTCATGTTCACTTGCACGGGTCGAGATTGATTGATGCCATCACATCATCGCCAGTCTTCCCGCCGGTCCCGTTGTGTCATGGGACAACAGAACGCCAGCAAACCGACGACAGTCGACGAGAAATTGAATCAATTAAGCCTACCTAAATCTACGAAAGGACCTGTGGTTCGGCAGACGCCGTGGCACAAGTGCTGCTGCTGACTGCTGACTGCTGAGAGCCCGAGATCTCCGCCACGTCGGGGTGGGTCAAGTCGGCGAGGTGAAGACAGGCTCACGGTCCCGAACGCGAGTTCCCTATCCACGACGAATGTAGGCACGGGTAACATATATACTGAAACTAATGCAGGGTCGTCCAAGTCAACGGCTAAATTGACGTGACACTCCTGTTGACCTCCAACAGCACAACACATGCTCATTCTCTTCCACGTTCACTTTACATACTCGACCTAGACCCCCCAGATCGAGACCCCCAGCCCAAGACTTTAACACATCACATCGTCCCTCCAGCATGACGATGCAGCCTGACAGCGTCGACCTCGAGAGGAACGACTCCCAACAAGACACCACCGTCGCCAACACAGTCGTCTCCTCGTTTGCGTGGCACGACCTCCACGTCCAGGTCAAGGACAGGCAGACGGGCGCCCCCAAGGCCCTCCTCGATAATGTGTCCGGCGTCGTCCGCGCCGGCGAGCTGCTCGCCATCATGGGCCCCAGCGGCTCGGGCAAGTCCACCCTCCTCAACGCCCTTGCCCACCGCGTCGCCGCTGGCGGCGCCACCACCACGGGCGACATCCTGATCAACGGCGCCAAGGCGTCGATGCGCTCCATCCGTGACCTGTCCGGCTACGTCGAGCAGGAGGATGCCCTGATTGGGAGCCTGACCATCCAGGAGACCATGATGTTTGCGGCACGCATGGCGCTGCCCTCGTACGTGCGACCGGTCCAGGATTGACAGAATGACTTGCTGATCTTTCTTTTGTAGGAGCGTGACCAAAAGAGAGGCCCTGCGTCGCGTCGACGAACTCGTTGTCAGCTTCGGGCTGCAGGCGCACCGGCACACCATTGTGGGCACGGCGATCAAAAAGGGGCTCAGTGGAGGGCAGAAGAAGCGACTCAGCGTGGCGAGCCGCCTCGTCACAGATCCCAAGATCCTCTTCCTCGACGAGCCGACAAGTGGTCTGGACTCCACGCTCAGCCTCGAGGTTTGCTCTTATCTTCGAGAAATCGGCCGAAAGTACAACGTGAGTGACAGTCCCCTATTCGTACGTCGGAGGCGCTGACCAGACCCCAGATTGCCATCATCGCCTCGATACACCAGCCATCCACAGCCGCCTTCCAGCAGTTTGACACCCTCTGTCTGCTCTCGGGCGGCCGCACGTGCTACTTTGGACCCACGGCGCAGGCCACCAGCTACTTTGCCAATGCGGGCCACCAGATCCCCCCCGAGACGAACTCGGCCGAGTTCTTCCTCGACCTCATCAACACCGACGTCGACCGGGACGGGCGGATCCGCCAGCAGACCGACCGCCTGGTGGAACTGTGGTCCACGTCCCAAGGCCAGAGGGACGTGCAGCTCGCCATTGAAAAGGCCGCCGAGGCGCCCATGCCCGTCGCCCACCGCGCCGTCGAGAAGCCAAAGCCGTGGACGGTGCTGTTCGCCCTGCTGCACCGGTCGTGGATCAAGTCGTACCGCGACATCATCGCGTACGGCATCCGCGTCGTCATGTACCTGGGCCTCGCCATCATGATGGGCACCGTCTTCCTCCGCTTCGGCGATAACCAAAAGTACGTGCAGCCGTACATCAACGCCATCTTCTTTGGCGGCGCCTTCATGTCCTTTATGGCCGTGGCCTATGTGCCCGCCTTCCTGGAGGATCTGAGCACGTACCAGCAGGAGCGCGCCAACGGCCTCGTCAGCCCGGGCGTGTTCATCCTGGCCAATTTCATCATCGGCCTGCCATTCCTCTTCCTCATCACTGTCCTCTTCTCCGTCGTCACCTACTGGCTCGTCGGTTTCCGCGAAGATGCCTCGGCCTTTTTCATGTGGGTCATGTGGCTCTTTCTCGACCTGCTGGCCGCCGAGTCGCTCGTGGTGCTCGTGTCGTCCATCTTTAACATTTTCGTCGTCGCGCTCGCCGTCACTGCCTTTTGCAACGGGCTGTGGATGTGCGTGGGGGGCTTCCTCGTGCCCATGGACATTCTGAACCCGTTCTGGAAGTACGTCTTTCACTACATCAACTACCAGGCCTACGTCTTCCAGGGCATGATGGTCAACGAGCTGCAGAAGCGGACGTATACCTGCGACGAGCCCGCACCTGGGGAGTACCAGTGCAGCTACCCCAGCGACCTCAATGCCGAGGGTAGGTTCCGTGGTACCAACGTGCTGCAGGGCTTTGCGATCAACACGGGGCTCCAGGGGACGTGGGTGGGCATCATGATTGGCATCATTGCTGGGTACAGGATCTTGGCGTATATTGTCCTGCGACTGCGCAAGTGAGAGGTTTCCGCTCTTCTGTCCTGTCGGCTGGATCTTGATAGTTCTGGGAGTGGTCCAGTGACGTCACGTGGTTTGATGAGTTTGCAGTAGCCTTCTTTTATAGACACTTTCTGAGGAGAGTTGATAATAATGTAATCAGACTCCCTTTTAAAAGTAGCTTCGCTCGCAACATTACACGGGCCAGGGGCGCAGGTCAAGGGTCTATCTTGCCTTGCTCCTCACGGTCCAACCGTCACTTCACCACGATCGCGTTCAGTCACGTGTCGCACTGGCATCACAACCGAAATAGACAATGAGAATAGCTGACGTATCCAATTCATCAGATTATTGACACGCTGAACTTGTTGTGCCTGTACGGATAAATTGGCCACAAGAGCCCCGCCTTACCTTGCCTTGCGTCAGCGGGGTCTATCGATAATTGCCTAGATCTTGGACTGGCAGCTCAGGCTGCTCAACAGAGCTCTACAGAGTACAGACTACACCTCACTCTAGTCTCGCCTCATCATCTCGCCCCATCTCCTCGACATGTCAACACAGACCCTGCGTCGTCTCAACCCAGTTGGCCATGGCCTAGAGGCTGCCCTCGTGGCAAGCCGCAAGACTCCTGAGCCCGCCAAGATCACTCTCCCTCCTAAAAAGGTGCTGTATAGACTCCGGCGGCCCCAGCCTGACACAAGCTCGTCCACGCGGGCGCAAAGATCGACTGACCCAATTCACAGCTGGACGAACTCACCGCCGCCGGCGAGTCCTTCGTCTTTGACGCCTTCACCACCCAGGACGCCCACGAGCTCGGCCACCTCCTCTACGCCCGCCTGGCGCCGCATCCCCGCCCCGTGCTCATCAACATCACCCTCGCCAGCGGCCTGACCGTCTTCCAGTCCACCACCGGCCCGGGCATCCACAGGGACAACGAGAACTGGGTCGCCCGAAAGCGCAACACCGTCTTCCGCTGGGGCGCCGCGACCTACGCCATGCACCTCAAGTTCGAGGGCAACGAGGACGTCTTTGCCAGCAAGTTCATGCTGGGCGAGGAGGCGGGTCAGTATGCCATCCACGGCGGCGCCATCCCCATCCGCGTCGCCAATGTCGAGGGTATCGTCGCTGTTGTGGTCGTGAGCGGTCTGGCGCAGGCGGAGGACCATGGGGTCATTGTGGACGTGGTCAAGGAGAACTGGGGGCCGGTGGAGGAAAAGTGATGGAAACGCTACGTTGGCTGCCTTTGTGGTATGTTTGTAAGAATTGACGCTTGTGCTGAAGCTCTGCCACATTCTGCTGATGTGGCAACTTGTCTTCGTATCAGCACCATGAAAATTGTTCAGCACGCCAAGTCAGCTCCTCCTCACTTCCACGCGATCCTTGGCCCATGGGATAGTTGCCATGTGCTCGTGTCGAGCACACTTGCACAGCATCTCTACGCAAGGGCTGAACCTGCAACTTGCTGGCTTGCAAAGCCCAACATGCCACTCCCCTGGCGTCTCGTCAACACGACGGACAGGCTCAAGGCCATGCTCGACGTCCTCAACCCGCATCTCTCTTCCTCCGCCAACCGCCTCTACATCTCCATCCAAGGAACCAAAGACGTGCCTCCCGCGACAGTCGCTCTCCTCCTCCTGCACGTTGCTCCTACTAGCGACGCGTCCGAAGTGACCTATATCATCGACATTTACACCATTGGCACAAAGGCATTCACCACGCTGGGATCTGACAGGAGAAATAGTCTCAAGATGATCCTCCAGTCGCCATTCCACCAGATTGTCGGTTTCGACATGCGCCACGACTTCACCTTCCTCGAAGCCAACTACGGCATCAAGACAGCCCTAGCCTTGGACATTCAACTCATGGAATGTCTCAGCCGGCCCGCCAATACGATAGGAGGGACAGACCTCGTCGCCTCCGACCTACCAAGCTGCATCGCGCATCTCGACGCGCCGCTCAGGGTCATTTGGGAGGAGGCGCGCGCGCACAACGCCAGTGTACCCTTGTGGTGTCGACGCCATCGCTGGACTACGCGGCCCCTCGCGCTGCATCCTCTCAACAATGCCGTGCAGGAATTGAGGATGCTGCCGCGGCTGCTGGGCTTGTATAGGCGCCGCATGTCGGATAAGCAGTTTGAAAACGTTTTGGTCGCGACGGGGGAATGGGTGGGTTCTGTGTCGTTCCAGGGAGGGATTGGGGTTGTCGTGCAAGGAGGGCGGTCGTACCATGATCAGGGAGAGTGGCTGGCACGGTTCAAGGTGGCAAGGTGATGTTGAGGGGGCTTTCCACATCCCCAGCACACTGTCATGCCATATTTTCTTCTACAATCACGAGACAATCATCGTCGAACAGTATCATCACGAGAATGGTAAGCCGGGCCCCCTGAGCTACGCAGCAAAATCAGTCTTTCGACAGTGCAGGGTAGGCCAGCTGCCTGTCTTTGTGAAGTAAGATAAGTGCTGCCCTCAGCTCCTTCCCGGCACTGACTGCGGGCTCGCGATGCCTCGCATCGTGGCAGCTGCCAAATCGACAATCCTTGCTCGCCAGCAGAGTCCACGACGCGATACTGAGCCACCATCGAGCCTCTCTCTCGGACCTCTCCTCTCCTCTATGATTAGCTGCTTCTTAGATTTAGACTATCACCAGCACCTGACACGACCTATTTGCAAAAAGGCGAGCCGGTCGGCCCCTCTTCACCTTGGCGCATCCTTTTCATTCTACGCGCATCCGCCGCCATTGTGCATAGTGACCACCGCCACGGTAGCATCATCACTGCTAGCCCGCGTCGACTCTGCTTGGCGAACGAGCCCAGGCCACCACAACCGCGGGATCCGGAACCATCATCGCGAGCACCGGGTTGCTGCATCTCCAACAATTGCCGAGGGCCTGGCAAGGCGACGGCCACGCGCAGCCGGTACCAGACCTGGAACCAGACCCAAGAGACTATTCATGACGATTCGCCGCGTTCCTGTCAAAGAAACAATGCCGACACGCCACGGTCGAGTAAGAATGAGCGAGTAATTAGCGACTGCACAACAAGGTTCCTGTCTACGGTATTATACCAGAGCACGCGTTGCCATGAACTGACAAGCGTCGGCCAATGAGGACGACAGCACAAAGCCATCTTCAGGTGAGCCGAGATCTACTACCGGGGGCTAGACTTTTTCTCCTTTCCATCCTCGCTGGCTTCTCTCTGGGGCGGTACGCGCATGCATTACTCGTTCCATGCCCAGCTCGGCCTGCGACCGTCGAGCGGTAGACCTGAAAAACTAGTCGGGCAACTAACTATCGATATTGTACGCTAACGCAGGAACAGGGACGACGCTACATCTCTCCGAGTGTGCTTGTGGAGATTGGGTTGTCAGGCGTGGTCGTGCCGTGTGCACTGTGATCTTCTTTTACGATGCCGTTGGTCACATTGACCAAAACCATCGATGGGATCTACAAAAAACAGTCGTCTCAAGGATGAATCGTTTTAGAGCCGCGCATCAGTGGAGAATTTGTTTGATCGTCAACAGGGTATTGTTTATGACGGAAAAACAGCCAAGAGGACCATGAGATCTGCTGAACGGGCACTAGCTTAGCCCGGTAGCGTCAGCAATTTCATGCACTTCAGCTGCATGTTCAGCCCAGACCCCCAGACTGCCAGCCCGGCCCAGCCCTGCCTGGCCTGCTTCGGAACATGGCGAGCGGCGAGGCTGAGCTGAACACGAGTGTTACTGTTGCAGCTGTTGCAGGTGGGTTTTCGATAATTTGCCATGCAAGTGCAAGCGCGGGGAGACCCATGGCACTGGGGAGAGTGTCAGTCGTCGACCGTCCGTCCGTATAAGTTGGTCGTGATGGCCTCTTTCTCTTTTCCTGCTCCCCCTCCCCCTAGTCAACGGCCTACTCTCGCTCAGTCTCTCGTTTCTTGTTATTGACCACTCTCACTTCACAACATTCGTTTTTTAATTACCCCCGCTTTCACCATGAAGGCTTTCCTGGCCACTCTGGCCGTCGTGCCCCTGGTCTTGGCCACGGGCCCCAAGGCGCCTCTCCCTCCTTGCACAGATGACTACACGCCCTTCACCAAGGTCGGCTGCTTCCAGGATGACGACTCGGCCAGCCCGGCTCTCATCTACCGCTCGCTCTCCAACCAGCGAGAGATGACCATTGAGCAGTGCACCTCCGAGTGCAAGGGCAATGGCTTCCGCTACGCCGGCATCAAGTACGAGGGCGTCTGCTACTGCGGCTCTTCCTACGACGCGCCCCAGGTCGACGACTCCCTGTGCTCCATCCCCTGCAGCGGCGACAACGAGGAGATCTGCGGTGGCGTTGATCAGACGGTCATCTACGAGGACCCTACTTTTTCCACCGTCCCCTCCGACGTCAGCCTGGACGACTACGAGTCGCTGGGCTGCTATACCGACGACTCGGAGGACCGTGCCCTCGCCTTCAAGGTCGACGTTGACGCCGGCACCTTCACCACTGAGACCTGCCTGAGCGCCTGCTTGGCCCAGGGTCTTCCCTACGCCGGCACGCAGTTTGGCAACGAGTGCTGGTGCGGCACCGACCTCGGCGCCGGAGCCGAGAAGTCCGACTCCAACCAGTGCAACACACCTTGCCAGGGCGACGACTCTGTGAACTGCGGTGGCCCCGAGCGTCTGACGCTTTACTACGCCAAGAGCCTGGTTGGCCCTGCCCCTTGTGGTGTCGAGCCCCCGGCCGTCACCACCACGACCGGCCCCAGCGTCTCCGCGACCACGACCGATGCCATCTGCACCGCGACGAGCACCGTCGCCCCCGACTGCGAGTTCAAGTGCGGCAAGTGGTGCGCCCCTGCCCTGCCCGACTGGACCGACAAGTCTGGCTGCAAGTCCGCCGCCAAGACGTGCCTTCTCCAGGTGGCCTCGTGCCTCAAGCACGCCGGGTGGCCCGAGGTCACGCAGTGCTTCGAGTTCTCCCGCTGGTGCTCAAACGTCAAGTCGGCATGCGACTCGGACTGCAAGTTCAACAAGTGCTCCAAGAAGCAGTGCTGGGACAAGTACAAGCCCGGCGCCGGCGCCAAGGCGCCCACGACCAAGACGACCACATTCCCCTGCGCGGCCACCACCACCACCATGATGACCACCACCATTGTCCCCACGCAGACCGCCTGCCCTCCTGAGCCCACCAACATCTGCAAGCAGCCCACAAACGACAAATACGGCTACGGTCCCGACAAGCCCGTCGCCGACATTGCGCTCCCCGTCGTCGGCTGCAACGACATCAAGGAGGACTTTGGCAAGAACCCCTTCAAGTTCTACAACAACGCCAAGAGCCGCAGCTGCCCCTCGTTCAGCTGGCACAAGCGGCCCAACGTCTGCGCCGAGGCCTGCGAGGAGCAGTACGAGGAATGCAAGGAGACCTACGTCAAGTCGTGCGAGAACACGTCGTGGCGCGGCAACGGCCACGGCCGTCGCGATGAGGACGATGCCGAGGAGCAGACGAGCGATCTCGAGGCACGCACCTTTTGGTGGAGCAAGAGCTTCTCCTTCTCCGGCTCCTCCAAGTGGGGTGGCAGCGGCCTGCCCAGCACCTGCGCCGCGCGTGACGACAAGAAGGAGTGGTTCAAGAAGGGCTGCGACGCCCTCCAGTGCTGGGGCAAGGGCGCCAACACCAAGTGGGCCGCCAGCAAGCGCTGCCGCGCGCAGTACAAGGACTGCCTGGCCGTCAACAAGAAGGTCACCGTCGACGGCATGTGCAAGTCGTACTGCTCGGCTTAGTCTAGAGTCCAGGACTCCAGGAAAGTTGGACGTGGGGTGTCTATAGGATCTTTGGGAACTAGCCCTGGATACGCATGGCTGTCTTTGAACATAATCTGCGTAATATTAATTGATATCTAATGCCCTACACTGAACCGTGGCACCATTGTTCCTAATATCCGACTCAAGAAGTGAAGCACCGGTATGTCAAGAGGATGGCCATGCAGCTGGGTGAATAGCAATATGAATAGATTGACCGCCACACCGAGACCTTCACCTACAAGTAAGTCTACCTCATGTCAGAAGCGGTTGTTCATGTTGAGCATGATCTGCGTTGCCTTCAACGGCACTGGGCGATAGTAGGTGAGACGCGTACGTATGTAAGTAGGGTCCTGCTGTCTCTGGACGCTTGGAATCTCCTTTGACGCCATCTTCTTCATGATCTACGTTCGTATGGCGATCCTGGTATCAAGTACAGCGTGGTCTGGGTGAAAAGAAAAGTATAAAAAGGGCTAGACTTCCTATCCAAAGGCCAGCATAGCAGCACGCACTTGAGCAATACACTCTAACCTACACCACAAACCGCTTAGACAAACTCAGAACTATCGACAACATGTCATTTGGGTAGGTATTGACTCGCACTATTCCACGAGGCTGTTTGAACATGTACCTTTACAGACGTAGCATGCCGGATAAAGTATCTTGACTATGTACTATAGACCTGAAATATTCGTGTACATTCAGACGTCTCCGCCTATGGCATCTCGGCCTTGAAGTACCTGGTGATCTCGGGGCTGCGGGCGCCTCCGCCACACACGTAAATGTCGGCAATGTGCTCTAGGTCGATCTTGTAGCTGGGTCGATGGCACTGTCGGGTCATTGCGGACGAGTGAGTGATGATGCCCCACCGTCGGATGCCGTACCGGGTAGTCCTCTACGACGGCGTTTTTCGTGACAGCTCCGCGGATTAAACGTGTCATCAAGATCGTAGCGCAACAACCCAAAAACGGTCATGACAATTGGGACTTTGAAATCTGTGCAAATAAAATGGGAGTATCACAAGATAGGACTATCAGATAAATGACGTTACGCGCCGCTGGACGATCGCTCGACATGTTGCGCTATAACGGCCACTAAGATGTGATGTGGCTCAAGCCTCAGGGCCGGCCAGTTGTGGCTGGTACGGTCGGGGGACGTGTGGCTTTGTGGCTGCAGGGATAAATTCATGACGATTAATAACTGCACGAGGACGATCAAGTAGCTTCTCGATGCAATATCATCTACCATGGGAAACAATCAAGTAGAACTACCTTGGGGGTCATGTCAAGCCAGCCGAGTGAGCCTATCGCTATCACAGCCACAGGCCTCATAGTGGGCAGCTCAAGCCGAGCCGTCACGAAAAAACGCCGTTCAGTGACTCCCCGCACCAAAACTCCAGTCAATGGTTGAGAGTTTAAATAATTATTATCGCCATCTGCATGCCCACTCAACAAAATTTTCCCATTCACCACTGTCTTCGTGAAAACTTGGACGGAATAGACAACCGAATTTGTTCAACCCTCTCTGTTCGACATGGCTCCCACCAACGAGGCCGCCCAGGCCAAGATCGAGGAGCTGCAGCAGCAGATTGAGCACCTCCAACAACAGGCCCAAGGCTCGACAACGAGCAGCTTTGATGTCTACAGCACCAGTCTGACATCCCGCTACTGCAGCAAGGAGCTTACGTTTCTCTTCAGCCAGAGGTCCAGGCACTCCACCTGGCGTAAGCTCTGGCTGGGTCTTGCCGAGGCCGAGTTGGAGTTGGGCGTCACGAGCATCACCCCAGAGGCCCTGAAGCAGATGCGCGAGGCCCTCACCGTGACCGACAAGGACTTTGAGGCGGCCAAGGTCGAGGAGAAGATCAGGCGTCATGTAAGTTTGCGATCCTTCTAGGCTAGGTTTTGTTCTAGGGGTGAATCGATGTGCTGACATGGATCTGTAGGATGTCATGGCTGTAAGTCTACATTGTCTGCGTGACAACACACTCCAATCGCTGAACCTCACATCAGCACGTCCACGCCTTTGGCCTGGTTGCTCCAGCTGCCGCGGGCATCATCCATCTGGGCGCCACCTCGTGCTTTGTCACGGACAACGCCGAGCTCATTCTCATGCGTGATGCTCTCGACATCTTGATCAACAAGATGGCCAAGGTCATCTCCAACCTCCAGGCTTTCTCTCTCCAGTGGAAATGTAGGTGTCACTTTTGGTTCATCGCAATCGTTGGAGGAGACATTATTAACGTGTGTCGTTTTGCAGCGGAGCCGACACTGGCCTACACTCATCTCCAGAGCGCCCAGTACGTATTTGCCTTGCCATTGATACCCAGAAGCTGACGTCCCGCCAGGCCCATCACCGTTGGACGTCGTTGTAAGTCTACACTGTCCAGCCAGCCTGCTAGGTTCCATTTACCTAACGGCATCAGCTGCGCAATGGGTCCAGGACCTGGTCATGGATCTCGAAGCTCTCGAGGCCGTTCGCAAGGGCTTGCGGTTCCGTGGCGCCCAGGGTACGTAGACGCTTCCTGTCCACCCCTGCCCAGGCATCTAGCATGACACTGACAGCAAACAGGGACAACCGGAACCCAGGCTTCTTTCTTGGAGATGTAAGCTCCACGAACACGGGCTCATGTGAGCACTCGACTGACCGCAGAAACAGCTTCGAGGGGGACCACGAGAAATGCCTCGCGCTCAATGAGAAGCTCTGTCAACGCTTTGGATTCCCCAGCTGCTACGACATTTCGACGCAGACCTAGTATGTTTCTGCACCCGAATCCGCATTTATCGTGCCGTTCAAGACCGTTTGCTGACCTCACCAACAAAGTACTCGCAAGGTTGACACCATTGTCGCCAATGCCGTTGCCGGTATCGGGGCATCAGCCTCCAAGATTGGTACTTACTCGTACGCTTCCCACCGTTCTACCAATGCTAACATGATTCAGCGGGCGATTTGAGGCATCTTGCCTCCTGGAAGGAAATCGACGGTTCGCGATCCTGCACCCCGTTTCATGGCAGAATATACTGACTCTTTTTCCGCAAAGAACCTTCCGAAAAGTCACAGATTGGCTCCAGGTACGTCCCCCAAGCTCGCGCATGCTACTCCTTATACTTACTTGTCCACAGTGCCATGGCTTACAAGAAGAACCCGGTTCGTCCTTCTCACCGAATATTCTTTTGGGCAATTGACTGACCCCCGCAGATGCGCTGTGAGCGCGTCTCCTCGCTCTCTCGCGTCCTCATGTCCAAGACGGTCACATTCAACCAGACCCACGCCACCCAGTGGATGGAGCGAAGCTTGGATGACAGGCAAGTGCATGATGAAGCTGCCAAGTTGGTCATTGCTAACATCAAAGTAGTGCCTGCCGCCGCATTGACATTCCCGAGATGTTCCTCTTGGCAGAAGCCATTTTGATCGGCCTAGACAACGTTTCAGCGGGCTTGGTGGTGTACCCGGGTAGCATCAGGGCCCACTACATGTCCGAGCTACCCTTCATGCTGACCGAGGCGGTACGTTGCTTCGCACGGGAATGGAATTGGTCACTTGCTGACAAATTCGATAGATTATCATGAAGCTGGTTGCCAAGGGCGCCTCCCGTCAAGAGTGCGTGGTGTGGTGAACTTTCTCGAGTGTCGGTGCTGACCATGGCTTAGAGCGCACGAGCACATTCGCGTCCTCTCGCAGGAAGCGGCCAAGGTGGTCAAGGTTGAGGTACGTGCACCATTCCCCTGAGCACTCTCAATCTTCCACTTGAGTCTTCGTCGGATTGCTAACAAACCCACCCCCCTGTAGGGCAAGCCCAACGACCTGATTGAGCGCATCCGCAACAGCGAGTACTTCAAGCCCATCTGGGGCGAGCTCGACGAAATGATGAAGCCGGAGCTGTACATTGGCCGCAGCGTGCAGATTGTCGACAAGTACTGCGGTGCCACCGGCCCTGTGGAGAAGGCCCTCGCGCCATACCAGGAGTACATCTCCGGCTCTGCTACTGCCGAGCTCAACGTTTAGATGGGCTTGTGATGGTGACCGAATTAGTAGGACGCTTCACCTGGTGCAGATGAGGGAGTTTGATGGGTGAGAAAAGGATCATGGTCGACCGATATAAAACGGGTTTCAATGGCTACCGGTTTTCAGATACAGCTGTAGGCGCGAAATGGCACACGAGGTCTGCAGTCACGGCAAGCATGCTTCAACTTGTGCCTCGAACGATGCCCCATGGATCTGTTTGAGCCTGGGGACGCTCAACATGTTATGTGTGACTTGTTCTGCATATTTCAAGCGAGGCATTGCTAACATGACTTCCTGACGCCGCACACTAAGCATGCTTTCTTTTGGGCTGTGCTGGTCACACGGCATCAGATCTTCACAGATAGCACCGTCACTCAGCCGACGAAGTCGCGGGCCCTCCCATGCTCACAACCACAACTGCTCACCTTCATCCAACAAGTCTTCACAGTGGCCCCCACCCGCCACGTCGTCTTCTTCTCCCCCAAGCCAGAGCTCTCCGTCCGGCTTCGCCTGCATTTGGGCTACCCGGAACATTTCGAATCAAAGAGCCCAAAGTTACCGACTCGCCAACCCCTGAACTCTCGTCGGTCCGTCACTCGCCAGACGGACGCAAGTACCGTCGGTCAATTACTAGAAAAGAAGAAGCGGATGGATTTGAGCTTATAATGAATCCACATGTTTCATGATGGTCAAAGCAGCCGCCATTGTCGAGACTCTACGACATCCAGGTGGCCTCTGCCTCCTCGCCAGACAGGTTCCTTGATTCCTTTCTGCGAGTCCATCCCCCGCAACGGCCATGGCAAGATCTGCAAGCCCGACGACCTCACCTCGTTCTGCGACGTCGAGGACCAGATTGAGATTTAGGTCGACATTGGCGTCGACATGGCCTGGACGCAGTACCTGACCACCCAAGACACCATTGTCCGTGTGACACGGCGCGAGGGCGGCCCCGTCGAGGGTTCGGAGGGGATAATCCGTCCGACCACGCTGGACTTTGACGTCGAGGTCGACGGCGATGCCGTGCTGATCACCGTCCCCTTGAACGAGAATGGACACCGCTTCTTGGTCGAGTTTAACGATAACCTGTGGGAGTACCGCATCGGCGACCCAGGCAACATGACCAACAGCCACTACGTGCAGAACAAGAACCCAAACGGGGCCCGCTACGTCGAGGAGTACGCCGACGAGCTGAATCCCATCTTGGGCGTCGAGCCGCTCAACGCGCTCCTCGTCTTCATGAGCCCCTTCCCGCAGACAAGTATGTGCCAGATCTCACCAGGGACACGTACACGGTGCCCGAGGGTCTCGTCACCGACCTCACGCAGGTCAAGAAGTCGACACTCTACTCCCCCTGGTGTGTACTGGCTAACGGGCTTCAACCACCCCTCGCTGTCCGACAGCATCAACACGTACTACAGCGACGTGCTGTGCGAGCACATGACGGTCTGGAAGACCAACAATGCGCCCATGATCCAGTTTGGCTGGTATACGCGGGATGTGGACAATGTCACCGTCAACGCTGTCCAGGTGGTCCACACGCGGTGCCAGACGCAGCAGGTCTTTTGGCCGCGCGGCATCGCCGGTTCCGCCGTCTCCTACCTGGACCAGGCGTCGACGCGCACGGCCGACGTGAGCAAGACACTGTCCAACTACAGCGTCACCAACGCCCGGTGCGAGGGCATATGCCCCAATCTCGTGGGCATCAACCCGCTCAACATTGATACGTTTCTCATGAAGAATATCTGGATCGAGACGCTGCCGACCGAGGTCACGGACGTCGGTAAGAGTACGTTTCGGGTGTTCATAGATGAGGAGGGCAATGAAGTGCAGCTGGGCGCCCAGTCGCCTGGTGGTATTGGCCTCGTCATTGAGGACTTTTACGTGGGCGATGAGAAGTTTGGTTTTGAGAATGACAACTGGCGGAGGGGCCAGCTGGGCCAGATTGACTTTGACGAGCACTGGGATGGCAAGTGGACGTTGAGGTAGCGGCTGGGTGTTGCTGTATCGCATCTGGATACAAGGCGTTGCCTTCATATTGGATGCTTGATACTTTGGGTAAGAGACTCGTGAATGAACAGCTTCAGTACTGGGCTTCTCCGCGATGTCTAGAAGCGATGAAAGGCATATAGAGACGTATTTGCCCAGTCAAGCCAGTTGCCGAAGCGCCAACAAGACCCTGTCAGCCTCTTCCTCGACTCCAGGGCCCAGGCGGCAAGACATCAAACCACGTCCCTCTGTACATGTAGGCTGTGGTCCGACTCAGATCAAGCCGAGAAGTTAGAATTTGCATATATAAGACCAGGGGCCGGCGTATTACCTGATACAGTTAGCAGCGCCTCGTGGTCTCTGGTCATTCTCCGGGTCCGTCTCGCGTCTCTCCGCACTCCAACGTCGGAGCTCCCCACGGCGAATCCATCAAATCTCGCCTTCGACCTGCCCTGACAATGCTCTGCATCCCCATGTCCATTTAATCGCAAAGTTACCTCTTTAGATCACGGAACCCTGGATCAGCCGACAATGGCCAGCCTCACATTCAGTCTGCGCTCGTCCTCCGAGCTCCTCGCGCCCGCGCTGCGCAAGGCCTGCGACAGGTGCCGTAGGCGCAAGACGCGCTGCAATGGCCAGCCCAGTTGCAAGACCGGCCTGCTCGTCGGGGTGGAGTGTTCGTACAGGACCGTCTCAAAGCCAGCGGGTCGCAGGCCAAGGAAACCTCGGTGCTCGCCGCAGGGTCCATGCCCTCCTCCTCCTCCTCCTCCTCCTCCTGTGACCCCGTCCGTGCCATCGCAGAGTCCTGGACGTGGCAACGGCGCAGCAGCGCAGACGTGGTCGGCTACATGGACATATGAGCGGGCCGAAGAAGAAGAATCATATCGTGCACTGTTCCAGCCAGACGTGGCGACGGCAGACTTTATAGCAGACAGCCAACCGTACCGACTGTAGTTCCTGCTAGACGACAGGCCCACCACCCCACGGTCCTCCTATCCCATCCCTAACTTCTGCTCGCCCTCGCTGAACAACGGCCTCCTCTTTGACCTCGCCGCGGACGCGAGCACCACTGAGACGCCCAGCTTTGATATGGTACCTCCAACACCTGCTGCACCGTCAGACGACTGGAGAGTCCCCACTGACATCTTCAACCCCCTACACGCAGCTCTACTTTGACAGGCTATATCCCGTCTTCTCCGTACTCGACGGGCACCAGCTAGACAGCACCGCGTCCTGCGACCAGTACGCCCTCGTCTCCTCGCTGAGCGCAGCCATCACCGCCCAGCTCAACTTGGTCGACCCCTCGACCATTAACCGCCCCTCCAGTTCCTCCGCATCATCAGCCCTGTGCTCGTCAGCAACGTCAATGGAGCAGCACCATCTCCCAGGCCAAGTATGGGCCGACCACGCCCTCCAGGCCCGGCAGGCGTGGGACTACATGAGCGCGCCCACAGAGTCCACCATCATGACGTCCTTCTTTCTCTTCGTCTACCACGACAACGTCAAGCAGCCCCAAAAGGCCGGCTACTACCTCCGGGAGGCCATTGGCTTCGCCCTCGCCCTCGCCCTCGACGACCCGGACACGTATCAGGCCGACGCCGCCGACGTGGCTGCTCTTCATCACCGAGCGCTTCTACGCGCTGCAGCACAGAGGCAGCGTCCTCCTGCGGTCCACCATCCCCCTGCCGCAGGTCTTCACCTCGCCGCAGCCAAAGCTCATCTTCGGCTTCGTCTCGCTCGTCCACCTCTTCAAGTGCGTCGACGACAAGTTTGTCTCCCTCTGGAGGACGAGCCGCGCCGTGCTCACCTGGGAGAGACCCTCTGCGCCATCAGTAGCCTCCGACACGGGCCAGGCGGCCTTGCAGGGCACCCTGTGCGCCGCCGTGGTGGCCGGGCAGCGCGTGGACGGCGAGCTCGTCGAGGTGCAGCGGCTCGACATTGCCGTGACGCAGCAGTGGCTGCATCTCCTGGCGTGGCAGTTCCAGGGCGCGCAGGCGGCGAGGAGTCGACGCGTACCCTTTGTCGTGTCCAGGGAGACGCTGGGCGTGGTGACGCGTGCGGACCGGCAGGCCCTCAAGGCGCACGGCATCGGCGTGGAGCAGAAGCTGTTCGCCATTGCGTGCTGCGTGTCCGACGTGCTCCAGCGCTCCGCCGAAATCGACAGGGACGCGGTCTCGACGGGTCACCAGTATCTGCACGGCTTCATACGCGTGCTGTCGTCGTTCCGGAACAGAGAGTCCGAGTCTCTGCAGCCGCTGCTGGCCAGGGCCACAAAGACGCTGACCGCGGAGCTGTCCGTGCCTCCGACGCTGACGCTGCCTCGTGACTCCAAGGTCTCGAGACGGGGGGGAGAGTGGCCCGGATGCCAGTGAGTATGTCGATTGTTGAGGGCTACCATATGCATTAGCTGTTGTACAATCAAGGCAGCTGTTGCTGACACGAACAACGAGGCAGCCAGACTTCACTTCACTTAACAAGACAACGCACCAAATCTATTTCATTCCTCATCAGGGTATCACGTCATCGTCCTCAACTCGTCCGCCACGTCGAACCGCGCATCCGTCTTGGCCCTCACCTCGTCCACCGTGACCCCGGGCGCCAACTCGGTCAGCACCAAGTCCCGTCCGCCCGTCCTGTCCACTTGGAACACGCAGAGCTCCGTGATAATGGTGCTCACCACCCGCGCCCCCGTCAACGGGAGACTACAGTCCTGCACAATCTTGGAACGCCCGTCCTTGGCCACGTGCTCCGTCGCCACTACAATCTTGGTGCTGTCCGGGTTGGCGACCAGGTCCATCGCCCCACCCATGCCCTTGAACACCTTGCCGGGGATCATGTAGTTGGCTAGGTCGCCGTTGCTCGCGACCTGCAGCGCCCCCAAGATCGAGACGTCGACGTGGCCGCCCCGAATCATGCCGAAGCTCTCGGCGCTGTCAAAGCACGACGCCCCCGGCACCAGCGTCACCGTCTCCTTGCCCGCGTTGACAATGTCGGCGTCCACCTCGTCCGGCGTCGGGTACGGGCCCATGCCGAGGATTCCATTCTCGCTCTGGATCCAGACGTTGCGTCCCTCTGGGAGAAAGGTGGCCGCCAGGGTCGGGATGCCGACGCCCAGGTTGACGTAGTATCCCTCTCTCAGCTCCTCGGCGGCGCGGCGCCCGATCCGGTTCCTCTTCTCCTGCGCCTCGTCCTTGGCCTTGGGGGCTTGGTCGGACGAGGACGACAAGATGTCCCGCGTCTTCTTCATCTCAATCAACTTGTCCTGTGTGGCGGGCACGATGCGATCGACAAAGATACCCGGCAGGTGGACGTCGTTGGGGTCCAGCTCGCCGACCTCGACAATGTTTTCGGCCTCGACAATGGTCGTCTTGGCGGCCTTGGCCATGAGGGGGCCAAACGCCTTGGTCGTGTAGCGGAAGATGCAGTTGCCCGCCTTGTCGGCTTTCCAGGCGCGGATGATCGCCACGTCGCCCGTCAGCGCCGTCTCCATGAGGAATGTGCGTCCGTTGAACTCCTTCGTCTCGCGCTTGCGGCCCTTTTCGAGGACGGTACCGGAGGGATCGAGACGCACGGGGATCTCGCCCTTCTCGACAAGTGTGTCTACGGGTCATTGGTTAGCCTTTGTGCGGACTTAAGCGAAGAGGAAAACACCTACGAGCAGCTGTGGGCGTATAGAAGGCCGGAATGCCAGCACCGCCCGCCCTGATACGCTCCGCCAGTGTGCCCTGTGGACACAGCTCGACGGCAATCTCACCGGTGAGATACTTCTTCTCGAGCACCTTGTTGTTCCCCAGGAAGGACAGGATGAGACGGTTGACCTGCCCGCTCTTGGACAGCTTGGCCAGACCACCCTTGCCCTCGACGCCCGAGTTGTTCGACACGGCCGTCAGCGAGTGCAGGTCCTGCGCGCCGCGACGCTCCAATGCCGAGATGAGCGTTTCGGCGACACCGCAAAGGCCAAAGCCCGAGCTGAGAATCGTCGAGCCGCTCCTCACATCGGCGACGGCCTCATCGGCGGTCTTGAACAGCTTGGAGCCACCTCGCCTGCTGGCAGCCGCGGGGTCGCTTGTCTTGACAAAGCGGCGCGTGGGCTGCAGTGGGAGCAGACGGATGCTGTGGAAGCGACAGGTCGGCGCCAGCGCTCTGGGGCGCGCAAGACAGCGAAGGGAAGACATGGTAACAGCTGCTGAGACTATGCGATCATGGGAATGAAGAAATACTGGGTTCCAATGCAATGCAGGCAGGACGGCCACCTCGTTTTGGAGAATGTGCATGCAAGCTCGCCGGTCCTTGTTCTGATGCCCGTCGCTGCTCGGAGTCCAGATCGACGTCCGTGTGCGGGACAGGCAACGTCGGCATCCAGAAGTAGTTATCGCACTCCTCCTATTCCCCAGCTTTTCTTTTCTCTCCGAACTCTTCTATACTCGTGCGGGGAAAAGTGCAAGGGAACATGTGTCAGCTCGCGAACTCGGGCCAATGCAGCCAGTCAAAGTTGCTCATGTCGTCCCAGGATAGCCCACCAAACGAGGGCTCAAAGTCGTTCCCCGGCTGGTTCAGGACCTGCATGATCTGGTCGTCGGACATGGTAGAGAACTGCAGCGTTTCAGGCCACAGGAGCTGCTGCTGCTGCTGTGGGAGCGGAGGATGATGCTGATGCGGCAGAGGCGGACCAGCCTGGTGGTCCATTGGTTGTGTAGCTGCAACGCCTGTCGCGATGGGCGGCGTACCCAGTGATGTCGGCACCGAGGGCGATGCCGTTGGCATGCGCAGGCCTTCCTTGATGCCCCCCTTGGCGGCACGACGCACAATCTGCCGCAAGTGTCGGCCGTAGAGACTGGAGAGACCGTTGCGGTGCTCGGTGACGGCGCCGATCCTCTCGAGCACGCTCGCTGTCTCGTCAATGAGCTTGCGCACGCTGGGCGCCAACGTCGACCCGCCAGCCGTGTACGCGCTCAGCGTCAGCGCGAAGCACGCCGCAAAGGAGATCATGATTGTCGTGTTGTTGGGCATCGACTGCAGCTGCGCCTCGCCCTGAATGGCTGTGCGCAGGACCGCCAGCGCGGAGGACAGGCCCGCTGTCCGGAAGAAACGGCGTACTTCGAGAGGGGCCGTGGGATGGTTGATGACACTGCCATAGATGGAAAGACGGGTGTGGGTGACGAGGATCTCGACGTAGGGAGGCAAGCGCCGCTCCGGCCCTGCGCCGATCATCGCGCCCCAGTTGGCGTACCACTGGTCAAAGAAGCTCTCAATTGTTGATTCGATACTGCTGAGCGTCAGTGTATGATCGAGGAGACTTGAGAGAACGAAAGAACTCACGACTGCGCGGCAAGGCTGCCATCGCTGCTGACCCCCTGTGTCCCATCGCAGTACGCCCTCACCGTCGCAAACGTCGCGTCCAGATCACGCCGGAGCACCGCCATGGACAGCAGCGGGCCATCCTGCTTTTCCGCGAGCGAGCTCTTGTGCCAAATGTCGCAGTCTTTCAGCAGACGCGTGACCGGCACCAGGAATGGCCGTCCTCTCGCCAGGCACATGCCCCGCTCCAGAACAAAGAGCGAGATCCAACACCGCTCGCGGCTTCGGAGGAGGAGCGTGCCCTGCTCCGACAGGGGGTCGACGTCCGGGAAGCCGTCCATAGCCAATGCCGTCTTGGGGTCCAGACACTCGCCACGCGCCACGGTCACGCCCGTCCCGTGGCCAAGCAAGTCCTGCGGCATCAGCACCTTGTGTAGACTCAGGTCAATGGCAATCGTCATGGCCATGCTGATGTACGCCGACGTCTCGTCGTTGGTAGAGTGCGACCCAGGGAACATCCAAGGCACGTTGATCAGGTAGGCGAGCACGATTTCCACGGATTTGAGGCGGTGTGGCGTGATGCGGTTGGCCAGCATCTTCGCGTGGGTTGAGAGGCGTTTGGACAGAGCGCCGGCCGAGGCCCAGAAGAGCGCGGTGGCAGCCATGATGGATGTGCACAGAAACGCGGAGCGTGACCGCGTGTAGCTCAATGTGTATAGTCGGGGGTCCAGGCCCCATCGTGTATGTGCGAGCTTATCGTAGAAGAAGCGGAACAAGGCTTCCCCCTCCTCGACTGTGACGAGGCCCAGGCTGAGAGGATCAATGTCGTCGCCAATGTCCAGGTTGACGCTGGCCGCCGACCCGAAGAACTGTTGCAGCTCGCGCGCTTCCTTTGCCTTGTCCGAGTGCGTGTGCTGCCTTGCGCGCGGCGGCTGCCGGGTGTGCTGATGCTGATGCGTTGGCGGCGGCGGCTGTTGCTGCTGATTTTGTAAAGTGGCTGTCGGCATATGTCCGACGTCGTTTCTCCGCGGCTCCTCAGGCGGCTGGAAGTACGACGCTCTCGCCAGCAACTGCAGCGGGTTCTCCGCGTCGTCAATGGCAAGCGTGTCTGCGTTCGCCGGTGGCATATCTGGCGTGGAGTCGTCCTGGCTGCCGTCCTCAGCCAGCGGCTCGGCATCACTGGATTCGTCCATGTGCTGGTAGTCCAGCTGATTGGTCCTTGCCGATGACTCTGTGAGATGCTCCCTTGCCTGCGCCTCGTCCAGCAGCTCCTTGAGCCGCGCGACAATCCGGCCTCCATCCCCCGACTGGGACGTGTCACCGCTCCCGCCGCGTCTCACAACCTGCTCAATCTGATACAGCGCCTTGTCGAGACCTACGCGCTTGCTTCCTCAAAGTCAGTCCACTCGCCCATGTGTTGCACGGACAGCGCGCACGTACTTTTTGATGCCCTTTTGCCGCCCGACGTGCACATGGGGCCGCACGCACTCCTTGCCCAGCTGGATGCACCGTTTGCACTGCACCTCACCAGGTGTCCAGTCGCACTTGATCTTGCTCCGTCGGCAGACAATGCAGGCCGCCAGCCGCGGGCGCGCCGCGGCCGCGTCCACGCTCATTGCGTTCTGGGGAGTGTCGATACACCGACCAAGCAAGATGAGCGAGCCCTGAGGTCGGTGAGTGAGGTCGAAGGCGCAACAGCTGCCTAGACTACCGAGCCGCGGGTGCCGTCTGTTAGGGGACACGGATCAATGCGAGGTCGCATCGGCACGTTTTGGCAGTCCGAAAAGTCTGGGGCAAGACTCGGATTGGAGGTCAGCAGCTGCGAGGTGGTTGGCTGGCCCGAGACGTAGTCAGGTCAGGCCAAAGTGAGGTGTTGACCGTTTGGTGGGGGAATGTGGGCTAGGGAAGGCCGTTGGAGAGGCAGCCATGGGGGGGGGGGGGGGGGGGGGGGGGGGGTTTGTAAAGGAGGGGGCCCCACACAAACACGTTAAACCAATTTTTCTTAAAAAAAAGTTTCCACCGGGAAGGGTCAGGTGTGGAAACAATAAAAAA